AAATATTATTATTATATTTTAACAATATTCCGGTGAGATGTACACGTAACATTATCTTAATGTTATTTAATAATGTTATTTTAATAACATTTTTAAATGTTATTTAATAATGTTATTCCACTCATTTTTGCAGGAAAGTCGTAAGAACGAAGTAATAATGTTTCTAAGACCATGTCGCCATAACATTTTTGCAAAATGTCACGACAACATTAGTTGTCATTGAAATATTTATTTTGATGTTAAAGCATAATGTCAATATAACGAAATAAAAACATCACACAAACGTTTTACATTAATGTCAAGAAGGTGTCGTTAAAACGTTACTAAGACCATGTCGCCATACCATTATTGCAAAATGTCATGACAACATTAGACATAACATGTACACCACGTTATTAAAACATAAATGTGCTAGCTGGGTATGCAGGGTCAAAGTCGTTTCCGAGTTGTCGGAATCCCAGCCTCTTGATTACGGAGTCCCACAGGGCTCAGTGATTGGCCCGCAGCTATTCATCATGTATACACACCCCATCGCTAATGTCATCAAACAGCATAAGTGCGTGTGTTACCACTCATATGCAGATGGTGTACAGTTGTACATTGCTATTAATCCAAGGGTTTCCATTTGCCGTGGAAGCTGGTCTGTCTTCTCTGTCAGCGTGCATCGCCGACTTGCAAAAGTGGATGTTACTTAACATGCTGAAACTTAACTGTGATAAGACCCAATTTATGGTTGTCACAAATCCGTCTACACGGCATCTCTTGTCAAATGTATCACTCCAAATTGAGAATGCTGTCATCACACCATCCAACACTGTTCGGAATCTCGGCGTGGAATTTAATTCTACAATGAAGATGGACCATCACATGTCTTACTTGTGTCGTTCTCTCCACTTCCATCTTTGTAACCTTGGACGCATACGACGATACATCGATAATACTACATGTGAACAGGCAGTCCGGGCCGTCGTCACCTCAAGGCTTGACTATACCAACGCCTTGCTTCAAGGAATTTCGTCCTCGGATGTCCAGCGGCTGCAACGGGTTCAAAACCGTGCTGCCAAAGTAATCCACAAATGTGGGAAGTATGAACACGTTACACCTCTCCTCCATCAACTTCACTGGCTCCCGGCCCACCACCGAATCGTCTTCAAGATCCTCACCACAGTCTACAAATGTCTCCATAACCACGCCCCCTCATATCTCACCACTCTCATTGACGTGTATCACCCCAGACGACCTGGCCTTAAGTCCGGTTCAGACAACACACTGCTTGTAGTTCCTAAAGTGCATTCTTTGATAGGGGAACGTGGGTTCTATGCACATGCCCCACGTCTTTGGAACAGTCTTCCGAGGGAAATCCGCTCAGCACAAACACTTCAAGGGTTCAAGAACTGTGTCAAGACTTTTCTGTTAAATCGTTAATCTGCCTTCACTGTTTTCTCTAATTTTGAGTCTTAGTTTCTGTAATTTTACTTTGCTGTTAAGCGCTGTGATACCTTTTGTGTAAGAGCGCTCTATAAATGCTTGTTATTATTATTATTATTATTAAACTTCCTGGGAGATCTGGAAACGACCCCAAAATACATTCCACCTGATTTCAGGACAGTATGTGCCATTCCAAGGAAATATTGTGTGAAAATGTTCGGGGAACAATTAATCAATAATATATTTTGTTCTTTACAAAAGGTGATTTTTTTCAAATAATTATGAAATATAATTGTATGATGAATATTAAATTATGCTTCCCTTGCATCACAATGCTTTTCTAGATCGATTACTTAATAAAACACGAAATTTGAGGCCCATACGGTTTAAAATCATTATTAACCCCCCCCCCCCCCCCCCGGATTTTTGTTTGCAGGGTCCTTAACAACGGCATTCCCTTCTGGTGCTCAGGCACTTGTCAATTAAGCCAGTGTCTCGAGGTGCTCTACCAGACGGTTCGATGCTTCGATTCTTTAGTCAATTAATGTTTAAAGCCCACCTGTTAACCCTAAAAGGGCCGGGTTATTTTGACCATCTCTCAGCCATCTCTCAGAACGACCATTTGATGCTTTGAAGATGCGAAACGAAGAATCCCCAGTTTTCACAGTTATTACAGGAATACCCTGTTGTTTGTTAGACATGTACAATGTACATCACTTCTTAGTGAACATCGACCCCACAACAGTTTTGAACACATTAATACCCCATTATTTGTTTAGTACATGCATTATTGCCATGACCTTGAACAAATTGCAACAGAAACCAAATCAACGGTTTTCAATCCCTAAATATGTCCTCATATCACATACAAAAAGTCACAAAAAAATCCTCCCGGCGGGGAGGGGGGGGGACATGATTTTTAAGCTCTTCACGTAAAAATTGCATAAAAAGCTAATGATCCTATAGACCTTGAGCAATAGGTGGGCGCGGACATCCGAGAATCGTTTTACATTGGCTGATGTGGCTCACAGACCTATGTTCTGGAAACTCCATGGTTCTTGAGTCTGAAGTGCTGATCAGAGTGACCGTAAGGTCATGGCCAAATGTTGCTAAGTGCACTTCAAAAATCTGTCGGATTTATCAAAAATCTGCCAAATTCCCCCAAATTACTCGAAATACAACCACTTAAAATCACATGCAGATGATGTTGCAGTTTTGCCTTAATTTGAGACTGGAATTACATTATACACAATCTATAGTCACGTAAAAATGTTATGAAATTGCGTAAATTTCCGGCAAAATGAGATTGCGTCACGACGAAGTCCGGTTCCCAGTGGACCTCAGCACCTAGACTAGCCAACCGGGCATTATGCGAGGGTTTGTTTGAAAAAATGAAAGCTTTTTCACACAAATGTACCATTTTTTTTCAAATTTTCTGTAAAATAACCAATTTTGCGGAATTCTGCCCTAAATCTGCCAAAAAAAAAACATTCTGTCAAATGTTCTGTCAAATTCGTTTTTAACCAAAAACTATCAAAGTTAACCGAAAATCGGCTAAAACGGCCACCCTGGTGCTGATTGTAACAACTGATATAACCTGACTTCACTCCACCCCGATCTATACTCTTGATCTAAGATATTAGATGGGTTCTTCTAAAAGTTTGTGGGATGAGGCCTTTTCTTCGCTCGCCACGCGGTCTGGTTCGCCGAATTTTATAAAACTTCACAGAGATGTAGATTATGGTGTACCATATCGAAAAAATTTGTTCCCCGATTCACACAAAAAATCTGGCATAAAAACATCGAAAATTGTACAAGGAAAAAACATAAGAAACAGCGCCCTCTATTGACATACATGTAGTCAAAAACCTTTTCTAATGCAATGGCGTACGAGTTCAGGCGGTCTGTTTTGACGCGAGTATTTTTATTGTTCTCGCACTCAAACGGCGCGGCGGAAACTCGACCCACCAACACTGCACTTAGAACAGGATCTCACACCACCTACATGACCTAAGTATGCCTGATATTTAAAAATTGTTATCATTTGATGCAGCCAAAAAAAAGGAAGCGGGTGGGCCGTTGGGGTTTACTTGTGGTTTTAACGGAATGGATGGAGCGACAACAAAACACGAATCAATTCTTAAAACAATATTCAAATAACAAAAACGATACTCAGCTGAAACAAAATAATAGCAGTTGTAATGCTGCAACTCAAAGCTTCCAAGTAAGGGAATATAAGTTCTTTTTCTTTTAAAGTGGGTCCTTCAATTTACAATGAGACTTTTGACATATTATGCCTATGTACAACAATTTATGTAATCCGTATGTGATGTTTATACATTTTGTTAGTTGAAAATAAACGAGTCAAATGCTCATTCAGTACAGATTGAACAAACTTTTGTCATCTAAATACCATTCTTCTTGTGTGGGTGAAAACTGTGCATGTTTTAATTGCCCCCCCCCCAAAAAAAAAAAATACCACATAAATAAATGATATATAAAAATATAGATTGTATTAAATAAATCACGATTTGCATTTCCTTAAGTGCTTAAGTATTTGTAGTTATTGCCTTTTTTTTTATTTCGGAGTCATTTTTTTATAAACATTTGTAATCAATAATACAAATTAACCTAAGTACATGTAATGTATGACGGAACATGAGATGAAATTTTGAGTGGTTTTGTAATAAGACGCTTCAACGTATCTGATGTACATGTATATAATCCCTTTTTAAAATTCTGCGTCACTGCTATTGAAAAGGGGGAAGTCTGTTAAAAAATTTCACTTGTGGATTTTCGACAAATCCCCCCCCAAAAAAAAAAAACGGGGGGGGGGGGCAGAACTGAGAGATGTTACCCTGAGATTCTCATCTGGGTATACGGTTTAACTATACTAATACATTTTTATTTGGCTAATACATTACATTCGATCTTAAAACGTCCAGTGCATTGATCATTTCAAGTTGGACAAACTGTAATAAAAAGGGTTTGGAATCGTGATTAGAAATAATAACACAAATCCAGAATTTGCATGTGTTATGAAAGTTGAAAGAAGTCTAGATTTTCTCGGCTATTCTACAACATTTTTCATTCACATTCACAAACTCTAACATTCAATTTCGCCCAAGAAAAAATTCACACGCTTTTAACAAAACCAATTAGTCATTCACCATTCAATTTGAAAGTTAGGTCAACTTCTTTTTTTAGGTCACCGGGTCGAGAATATTCGTCATTACAGATCAAATTCGTCTAAGGTGTTGCCGAATGGCAACATTCAGTGATCGAATTCGTCTTATATACATGTAAATCAATTAGACAAATTTAACTTCTGAATGACAAGGTTTGGCGTAGATGAGAAATTAAATACTCAGTTTTTTTGTGTGGTACATCATAAACTAAAATTCGGCAGACCAGATCGCGTTTCTCGAAAACTAAAGCGTTTTCGGGCTCTCTCGTCCCACGGACTATAATTAAACGCTTGTGAGAATCCCCAGTCATCTAAGCCGCCTGGTGGTAGGGGGCGCTATCAATTATCCAACATATCAGCCCCGCCAGTAATAGTGTAGCATTTGTTTGCGTAGCTACTATACACCTTAATAAGCCGGAGCAACGCGGATATAAAAGCAAGGTCCGTTCATTGTGTTTGATTCATGAACTGCGAGCCACTTACATAGAGAGATCGATAACGACCGATCTATCCCTATGCAACATGTAGGAGTCACTTGACAACGTACGCGGCTAGACCAGCTATCCGTGCAATCATGGAATTGTAATGCACTGTACATGTACATAAACCCAAGAATGCCATGTGAAATACGTACGACTCTCAGTTCAATTTGCCATCATTAATTAAGTTTTGGGGGAATTCCAAAATATCGCTCCCACATGTGGCAATTCAAAAGACAATTTGCAATGGGAGCCTGCTAAAACGTTGCCTTGTGGACTTTGAACGTAAACATTGACTGTTTCTACGAAGGGATAGTGGTACGTCAGGTAGACTTGACACAGTAGAGATTCACAGTGAAGTCATGATGAACTTTTAGCAGCGAATTGAAAGGTAATTTTATTGAGTCATTTTCATTTATCATGGGTCGGCCTATACATTTGTATTTCGAATAGTCAGTGTATGAAACTGAGGGAACACAATTTCTCTAAGAATAACACCGTTCTGCATCACAGTACAAAATAAAAACAATCATTTCAAATTACATGGTTATCACTCTTGTCCTTCCCCTCCCATGAGTCACTTTGAAAGTGTTATTGCAAAATAAGAAATATGGTACAAAATTAAATAAACAAGCCATGTATGTATATGAATAAAAACAAACTCTCAACACCAAACAAAAGATACAAATCAAAACCAGCACCATTAATAACTTGGGCGCAGGGGGTTGAACCATTCCAGATCTTCATGAGTACCGGGTTTTGGCAGGTGGGGGCACTCAGCAGGTGTTCCATTGTCAATTCCTCCCCACAGTCGCACACACTGAATCCCTTAATCCAATGTACCTCAACCCCTCTGATTATTACTATATCTGCCCGTCCACCTGTATAATATGCTATTAAATTTGACCTAGATGCATTGTAGGTACCTGCGAGGCTGCTCCTTATTTCAATTTTTAGTTACATTGAATACGCGAGGTACTCTAACATTAATTGTACTTTCAGAAATACATGTTTCATCATGGGATGTGGAGCGTCGAAAACCACAGCTCATGAATCGACTAGTGCTAGTCCTCAAGACGCCCAACAAACAAAAGATCGGCGCCAAGAGCAAAATCAACGGCGTAAACAAGAAGAGCAACAGCAGCAAAAGCAGCATCCGCAGCAGCTACAGCAGAAGCAGCCACCCTCACCACAACAACATCTTCAAGAGCATGTCCAATCCAGCCCGCTGATTGACAGCGAGCCTGCAAAACACAGCGAGCACCGACCCAAGCCGACTCCGCCTGCTACAAAGAAAAAAGAATACATTCCGGATTCGAATGTGTTCGCGGATATTGACGACCACGCATTACAGGTATGGGCGAATCCTGGTGTAGGCACAGGAGTGTTAGTGTCCTGTGTGCTGCTGGTCCCAATGAAGGGCAAGCCTAATTTCCTCTTAGTACCTATCTCACTGATTGACTGACTGTCACGTATGAACTGGGCAATGCCGAGGGCGGATCCAAAACACAATTTTGGGGGCCAAAAAAGTTTTGGTCCCCCCAAAAGTGGGTCTGAAAATGGGTTGGTCAGTTTTTAGTTCTATCGGCTGGTCGGTTGTCGGACGAGCGGACACTGAGTTATTGGTGTGTGGGCTGGTTGGTTGGATTAGGTTCTAGATTGGTCAGGTAGTAAGTTTGTAGTACAGTCGGACTCGGAAGGATGATGGATTTGATTCCCCAAATCAATAGACGGTTCATTAATATCCTTGATTCAGCGACTAATAAAATCATTTTCTGTTTATTGACTTTATTTTCAAGGCACCAAAGTCTGCAGCCAGCTCGATAGAAAACCTCGTGAACTATTTGACCAAGGTTTGCTCAACCAATCTGGAGAGAATCCGTGTGCTCTTCAGGTGGATTACCAACAATATCGAGTGAGTACGCAATGACTTATTATCTATTTATTTATTTATCTATTTCTTATTTTAACTGGGTAGCCCATTCAGTGGAATCCACTGATCTCCCATGGGTCCCAGTAAGGAGAAGACAATGTGAAGAAATTACAGTTTTAGAGGTGGGAGGAAAAGCCCAGAAGAGTATTCTGAGGAAATCCCACGGAATAAGTTGGGGACTGAAAACCCAATCCACATATTGACCCAGGCGGGATTCGAACCCGGGTCACAGCGGTGAAAGGCGAGGAAAGTACCGCTACGCCAACCTGACTTCAAAATGAACTTATCCATACAAAGCTCAAAATTTGTAGAATAATTACAGTTGCAAAATTCAAATTCGAATGTCACGAGAAGCCGGATAATTTTTTTGGAAACTCAGTGGGTGATGGCTCCCTACACGTCAGTAACTGGAATTGTTGGAGAATGTGTATCTGGTTAATTTGCCTTTACCTCAGAACACTTCGAACAATGGGTAACCTAGCTGCGACGATACATTAAGCCCGAGGACCTGAACCCAAGTCCTCGCAAGGTTTCTCTGTACAAACTTTGTAGGACTTGTCGAGAAAAAGTGTGTCCAAACAATGGGAACAAAAGAAGGACACCATGTCCTCAGAGTGGGAGCATATGTTATTTTGCACTGCAGCGTATTCTTTAGGCGTGTGCTTTTTTCAACAAAATACGCACGTGTAGTCCTCTAGTGCCATCACATATTTAATGAACATAACAGATCAAACCTCTAAGATGGCCGCTGTAATAAAGGTTAATAGTCACAATCAGTATTCCATGACAACTCGGAATGCAGTTAAATTGTTTTTCATAATCAAATATTCTCTGTAATTACCAATCCACGTACCCTAAGGCTTTATTAATTTAGTCGGTCTCAATTTCAAAATTTTACTTTTTTTCAAGGTATGACGTCCAGAGCTACCGTTCTGGTAACATCCAAGGAGGGAATTGTACGCCGGATGCGGTGTTGCAGAGAGGTTGTGGGGTGTGTGACGGGTACGGCCAGCTATTCCAGGACATGTGCAGGTAAGTCACATCGACGTTTTGAGCCAATGAGAGAGCTCCTCAAAGACGCCATTGTGGGATACAAGAAGACCTGATTCATAGATTATTGACTAACTTTACATTTTTTTGTTTCGTTTTAGTACAAACTATATTTTTAACAGCCGTTATTTTTAAGAATAACGTAAAGGTGTTTGAATAGCCGCGTATTAGTGCTCTCAATTGTTAGAAATAAAAGCATATTACATTTGCATTCTTTCTTGAGGGCGCCCTGGAGGCACTCAAGAGTGCAAATAGTAGAGCTCGCACCTCGTTTCGCTCGTACCCCCTGCCCTGCAAACAGGACGCTGGGATACTCTGATGAATTCACGCTCTGATTGGTTGGATTTTGCGTGACCAGTGACCTGCGCGTCATCAAGGTCATGACTCTACATGATTTGAAACGGCCGTTAAGACTGATTAATTTCTCGTTGAAAAAGCGTAATAATGTAGGAAAAGTTTGTAAAAACTTATCTGTGTTGTAAATTTACAATTCCCGTCACTCGCTCAGGCTCCGTTTCAAGTCACGAACTGTCGGATTGCAAAATGCGACGCTCAAAATGTTGTCCACATGGTTCGCAATGAAACAGAAATCACATCCGGTATGGAATGTGCGTATTTCTATGGAAAGTTTCGGATAGCATTTGAGCACATTGTCTTAATGCGGACTTGAACAACTGCAGCCAGATGTTTTATACATAGGTCATATGCCATTTCCTTTACAAGATTCTGTGAAGCTCATCAGAGTATCCCAGCGTCCTGTTTGTAGGGCGCGGGGGTACGAGCGAAGCACCTCGTACGGTTTCGCGATATTTGCCGAGCCGTACGCTGAGACGGATCTCATGGTCCACCTGAAGATTGCGGGTTAACAAACAACTTTCAGTTTACACCAGTTTGCAAAAATGTCCTTATGTTGTTGAATGATGTTCTATTAAATAGGTAGTTAGGTAGGCCTACATCCACCTATTCGTACCACTTTTCAGGCGGGCAGGCATCAGGTGTGAGAAGATCAGTGGGCACGCCAAGGGCGCCGGGTATTCGGCTGGAGACTTGTTTGAGGGCAAGGCTACAAATCATGCATGGAATGCCGTGTATGTAGATAACGCCTGGCGTCTACTCGACTGCACGTGGGCTACTGGCTTCGTAAATCCCGCTCAGCCTTTCCAGGTAAGGTCAATTAACAAAAAAATAAAGGAAAAAGGTCCTGCACTCCCCCCCCCCCCCCATGTAGATTCTCCATTTTCTCGACTCTTTTACTAATATCAGTGTATCAAATGAGCAATCAACTTTTCTACCAGATTTTGAAGTTGCATAGGTACAGCTTCTTCTTTTTCTTTTTGGAAAACAAAAAGACAAAATATTGCTTAAATGTGTGATCAGAAAAACGGGAGGTGGAGGACCCCAAAATACGGCGGAAGGAAGCGGACAGGGACGAAAACTGGTTTATCATGAGTCAGCCTGCTAGATTGAGAGTATGACTATCAATCTAGCAGACTAATTGACTGATCGACTAAAATGATTTATTTGGTGGTTCAATGAACAAATTGACTTATATCAGCTCCCGTAGTAGCATTTGCGTCCTGAGATGTTAGATATAATTGATCAATACATACACCGATTGGTCAATGTATTGCACACTCAATCATCGACCTATCAACTGACAAAATACTCGACAAACTGATGGACTAATCAACTAACTTAATTGACCGAACAAGTTAGTTAGTTGTAAACGACCAACTGACTTATATCAACAAATGTCGCCCTCGATTGCTTCGCTAATCAGTTGATCGATTGATCAATAGATCAATGGATCAATCAATTAATGCATTATGTCATCAATATGAGTCGATTTATGGCTGATTGCTCAATCAATACCAATTGAAAGTGATGTACATTTCGAGATCAATTAATTACATTAATTGAATAAGATTGATCCGCAAATTTTGAAAGCAAGATTGATTTCTTCCAGAAAAGTTATATCAAACTGCGTTGTATCAAATTGACTTAAGTGCACGGCTTGACTCATTTGAGGTAATACTAGTTTGTGATTCTTCTTTCTGTTCCAGTTCAAGTTCAAGGAAAATTACTTTCTGACCGATCCTGAGGAGTTTATTTACACACACTTTCCTTACAACAAAAGCCAGAACATGGACAAGTGGCAACTGCTTGATACACCATGGACTCTAGAGCAATATGAAGAGGCACCTTTTCTGAAAGGAGGCTTTTTTGACCTCGGTATAAATCCCTCGAGCTTGAGTCACTACAGATCTCTCATTGAGATCGATGACTCAGTTATATTTGGCTTCTCATCCGACCGGCAAATCTCGGTTACTCACACCCTAACAGACAAAGCCTCCGGACAGACGTTCAGTCAGTACTCGTATTTGTACGTTCATCAGGATAATTTTAAAGCTGTCACTCTTGTGGTGAACCCGCCCTCTGTCGGCGACTATAAGCTAACTCTTTTTGCCAAGGAAAGAACAGCCGGTGACAAAAAGAAGGAATGGATAGGTGACTTCTTGTTAAGATGTACCTCCGTGTCGTGTCCCAAGAACCCCTACCCTACCGTGCCCCAGTGGGGTCTTAAAGCCAAAGCTACGGCTCTTGGACTCTCATTCAAGGGGACGAACCCGTCAGTGGCACCCGACGACACCGGTCTCGCCAAAGTGGAGCTTAAAATTGACAAGAACCGGCCCGTTGAGACCAGCTGTGCTTTGTCCAAAGCCGGCGGGGTAGGATCTGGAAATAGTGTCCTAAGAACCAACACGGACGACGGCTTCACGTACCTATTGGCCGTGCCTTCGGAAGGCTTGTTCAAGTGCACTCTCTTCGCCAAGCCTGCCGGAAGCGAAGGCAGCCCCGATTACATGGGTGATTTTCTGGTTGAGTCTAAGAGTACCCCGTCCACTCCCAGAACCTTTCCACTTGTTTATAATCTTTTTGGTGATGGATGTGAGCTTCTGGAACCGATGCAAGGCAGACTACCTGCAAATACAGAGGTGAGATTCAAGCTCCGTGTTCCAGACGCAGGCGACGTGGCTGTAGTCGCGAACGGCAGCCAGTGGCATCACCTGGAGAACCCTTCGGGCGATGATCTATGGCAAGGAAACGTCGCAACGAAAGTCGAGGGCGATCTCACAGTTTACAAAAAGAACAAAAAGGGTACATTTTCAGGATTGCTCAAGTACACTATTGCTTGATGCATTACTGTCGTGATTAAAAAGCCGTTAGGCAAAGTTTAAAAAAAAAGAATTCTTCTGGCTTTTTGGAGGGAAAAAAGGAGGCGACCTTTATCCTGAAGATGGCGGACGGATTCTCCAGTTTTCTTGACTCGTTTGCTGATACTTTTTAACCAAGGAAGCCATCGACCTCTCTACCAGATTCACCTACATAGCTACATTTTAAGGGTAACAAATGTAAAGGCAAAAATACATTGCAATTGTCTGATTTTTGTTATGAAAACGGGAAGCGTCCAGGAAAGAGGAGGCGTTCGGGGACGAGAAACTGTTGTTTTTTTAATTGGCCTTATCGTCGGGCATAATCAAGATATATAATGTGATAGAAGCTTCAATGCTTATGTCATTTCTGAGTCGTTTAAAAATGCAGTTTTTGGCACAATGCTATTAAAATTGAATTGAATTTTTTTTTATTTTGGCTCAAAAAAAAAATGAAATTCAAACTTCCTGGAAGATCTGGAAAAGACCCCAAAATATACATTCCACCTGATTTTAGGACATCATGTGCCATTCTAAGAAAATATTGTGTGGAAATGTTCGGGGAACAATTAATCAATAATTATTTTTTTTCTTTGACAAAAAAGGTGATTTCTTTTTAATATTTATGAAAATAATATAATTGCATGATGAATATTAAATTTTGCTTCCCTTGCATCACAATGCCTTTCTAGATCGATTACTTTATAAAACACGAAATTTGTGGCCCATACGGCTTCAAATCATTATTACCCCGCTACTTTTGTTTGCAGGGTCCTAAACAACGGCATTCCCTTCTGATACTCAGGCACTTGTCAATTAAGCTATTGTCTTGAGCAGCTCTACCAGACGGTTCTATGCTTTGATTCTTTAGTCAATTAATGTTTAAAGCCCACTTGTTAACCCTAAAAGGGCCGGATTATTTTGACCACCTCTCAGCCGGGGGGAGGCGGATTCCGCCCTCTCCCTAAGATCTCAGCCATCGAGTAACAAAACAAATTGAAACTCATGCATAGAGCAACTCATCATGGACATACCTGAGAAATTTCATGACTATAGATAAAAGGGTTTTGGAATTATGGCGCATAGCATTTCCGGCCTCGATCGTTGCGGGCTTATCCGTCATCTGATCTGAATTTTGAAAGCTTTTGCGCGTATACATAATCCTCCGGTGCAAACTGGACGCAAAATACTGCGAAGACACATACAACGACCATTTGAAGATACAAAACGAAGAATCCCAAGTTCTTACAGTTACTACAGGAATACCCTGTTATTTGTTGGACATGTAGAATGTACATCACTTCTTAGTGAACATCGACCCCACAACAGTTTTGAACACATTAATACCCCATTATTTGTTTAGTACATGCATTATTGCCATGACCTTGACCAAATTGCAACAGAAACCAAATCAACGATTTTCAATCCCTAAATATGTCCTCTATCACATACAAACAGTCAAAAGAAACCCTCGGGGGAAGGGACATGATTTTTAAGCTCTAAAAAATGCACCATAAATGCCCTTAACCCAATAACTGTCGCCCAAGGGGGACCAGTGCTTAGCCAATAAAGGCTCATCATAAGTTGGTAGGATTCCTGTGCGAGCAGTAGAGCATTGAAGCTTCCAAAACACACAAAACCTGTGCAACATGTTTTTACATTACTACAGACTCAGTTACTGCCATACTTTAACTGACTTAATATTATTTTAATCGAATTGATAATATTTAAAAGCCAGACAAAATAGATTGCCTACAAATCCTGCCTTTATAAGTATCCTCCTTTACAGTTATCAGATTTTAGGGTTTTGTGTGACTTTTTTAGAGCTAGTTTACATTTCTGTTAAGAAGGTTACTGTTTGCCTGTACACTGTCAGGATTGTAAAAGTTTTCCTGCTGATGTTTCCCCATTTGTTTTATAAAGTCGAAATACATGTATCTCTAAAATTGTGTAGGGGAGGAAATCATTTCACCCAGGAAATTTTGGGGAGATTTTAAAAAAAAATCCATTGGATAACATCCTATAAACTTTCAATTTAAAACTTCACTAATAAAAAATGATCAAACATATATCTTTTTCATTGAAGCACAGTTTGGATTTTAATACACAACAGAGGGCAGGCAGTCACTACAGAGTAATTGTTTTCTTTGAAAGTTTTTGCATTTTTTGATGAGTGTTGCATGGGACACTAAGGTGGCCTCATTTTCAGTAGGGGCACTCGTTAAATATTATTGTAATAATAAAAAGCTAATTTAATTACGTCTCCCCAAATTCAAGGAGGTTGGGGTGGGGAGGGGGAGGGGGGTGGGTTTTGTTTAGGCGTCAGTAGGGGTGGGCATGATCTGGTACACGGTACCCTGTGGAGACAAGTGAATAATAGGGAACACGACATTGTAAAAGTCTCCACGGGGCAATTTCTATAGATGAATACGTCTCCACAAGGTTACCACGAAATATATATATGTATTTTACTCAAAAACTAGGAATTTCCAAGGTGTGTTGATCGATCGCAAATTCAAGCATTTTATATCAAGGGATATTAAGTTAAAACAACACTTTCAAACTCTAAAATTGCAGTACGAGAACACAAACAATTACTCCACAAAGGATACAAATTCCAGTGTGTGTGTGCGTGTGGAGATGGGTTGGTGGGTGGGTGTGTGGGTGTGTTGGGGTGCTCTTGTATTGTATTACGCTCAAGGACAGACAACAAAAGGAGCACAAAGGAGCGTTTGACCCTCGGACGACGGTGCCTATTGTTAAAACCGGTCCTCGATCGTACGGTTATGTGCTTAGTTTATGGGAAAGTGTTATATTAGAGGGACAAAGGAAAACACAATAGTTGACCTCAGGCGTTTAGTAAAAAAAGACTGTGTGGGTGTGCGCGCGTGTGTGTGTGGGTGTACAGGCAAGCTTGGAATGGTTTGGGGGTCAAAAGTTCAAAGGTCAAGGTCACAGGTGTGAGTTAAAGGTTAATGGTTTCAGGATGATAACTTCAGTAAGAAATGAGATTTTGGTGTCTCACTTCCGAAGGGGGTTGCCCTTGGGTACAGGCAAGTTGGGATTGGTTTGGGGGTCAAAATGTCAAAGGTTAAGGACACAATGGTGAGTTAAAGGTTAATGGTTTCTGGCCGGTAACTTAAGTTAGATATTAGATTTTGGTGGCTTACTTCGGTAGGGGGTTGCCCTTTGGTACAGGTTTGGTACAGGCAAGTTTGGATTGATTTGGGGTCAAAAGGTCAAAGGTCAAGATCATAGTGGTGAGTTAAAGGTAAATGGTTTCCGGGTGATAATTTGAGTTAGAAATGAAATTTTGGTGTCTCACTTCCGTAGGGGTCTGCCCTTGGGTACAGGCAAATTAGGATTGGTTTTGGGTTCCAAAGGGGCGGGCGACCGTTATTGCAATCCGGTCGCCACTAGAGGTATAGTGACTGCACACATCATGCACACCTCTAGGGGCGACCGTTATTGCAATCCGGTCGCCCCTAGAGGTACTAGTGACGACACAAAACATGCATACCTTTAGGGGCGACCGTTATGGCAATCCGGTCGCCCCTAGAGGTACGCGTCAGCTGTAATAACATGTACAGGGATTGCAATCAATCGATTGGCCTGACATTTATTCACAATTATTGCATTAATGGGCAGAACTTTTTTACTTAACACACAAGAAATCAAGTGTTTTATTAATTAAACTGACATTTATTTTTACATTGTACATGGGTAACTAGAACAAAATACAAGTTATCAGTCAAATATAGTGATCATGTTAAGCTACCTAAATAAACAACTAAATTTTGATAGATAAATAACCGATTCATATTTACAGTTGATTGAACAATGCTCATTCATTGCATTCAAGTCCTCTAGAATAGACTTCCCGATTCCAAACCTGTCATTCAACCGATTTGCACAACTTACAACCGCGAAGCAACCAAGATAAGGTCCTAAAACTTCACCCTAGCAAACGATTATCGTCTCCTCCCTACAAATGGCTTGCGAGCAACAGTGCCCAGGGAGCATTTGAGGAATCCTTGTGTCATCTCCAGAAATAAATAATGCTTATAATTATAATAATAATAATGTGTAAAACTGTTTTTCATAAACACAAATACATGTACTTCAATTACATATTAATTTTAAATGTTCATTCAATTTGGGTAAAAAAGGTTACTTTTCAATGCTCCGATGTGGAAATGTACGCCACAGATTTCTCTTTTGTACTTCTTACAAAAAAATACAATTGTGTGTTTTATACAAAGAACATTTTATAACATAAGTGCTACCGTGCATCGACTTGTTTCATTTAACACAATTAAGCGAGTCGATCAAAATTCACCACAGAAAACAGTAGTTTGAATGTCTGTATCACTGGTTACCAATAGCCGTGCGCATTGTAATGTACAGCAGGGAGCCAACTGCATTGAGGTTTCGAAATGCCGTTTGACCATATATGTGGCACTTGTTTACGAACTTGGATGTTGTCGTCACGTGATGCCAAATTTCAGCAAACGGTTCTCTTCTGCACTGTGTATATCACCTGCAATAAGCCAGTTCAATATTTCAACTACGCATGCACACAATGATATGTGTCACGGGTCATTCGGGATAATCGAAGGCGTAAAGAACGCGCTCGGAGAATGGGCTTCCACGTAACAGCGCGTATCATCACGTCAGCGATTTTATCCCAAATGGCCTTTTACTTGGGCTACGTCATCGAGATACCGAACTGGCTTATTATGTGGGCCAAATAACATGCAAAAGATGCTTAAATGTTTGGGTTCCTCGGCGGTTGCCTGTCGGCATGACGTCACAGGGCACATGGTGTATATCTGGACTAGACAGCTTCTAACTTTGTTTTAACACGTGTGCGCAAGGTTCGTCACGAGTTCACCACTAAAAATCGTTGACCGAACCTGCTCTTTATAGGCAATCATCTTAAAGATCTGTCTGTACAGCCAGGGCGAATATGTTTTTTAAGAGGAATCAGGGCGATGTAACGACGCCATGGTGTAGTTAAAAACAGACGTGAATCCCAGGTTATTTAAGTAATTTTTATGGGTTGCTATCAATAAAAAATTATTTGCAATTTTGCAATTTTAAATATTGTACCACATAAAACTTGACCCTGGACGTAAACTGAAGTTCTGTAAAGATATACTTAATCCGAAACTGATACTGATTTAGCTATTGGCAGAACCTAAGCGTCGTCAGAGTTGTGGGTGCTGGGAGCGACCTTCACCAGCCTAATATGGGAAGTCTTATTGCTGCTCAGAGTCCACACATTGGTTTTCCCAACCTACCAATGAACAATAAAGAGTTAAAACTAATAATGAGGATGGCAAAATTGTATATGTTGAAAAGAATTCACAAACGAATGAGCAAGAAAACAGTCAACCCTATAAAAGTCCCCGGTCAGATTTGACCTGAAATTAATGTCCTGTTTGACCTGACTCTTTTCCGGGTCAAAATTACACTTCTCTTGATCAATTTTCGATCCCGTTTGCAGGCGCGGATCCAGAGGGGGGGGGGGTGGTGTTGAGGGTCACCCCCCCCCAAGCTCTGTCCCAAAAAAAATTCTTATACAAATTCCTAAAAAATAATTTGAAAATCCCCCCCCCCCCCCGCTGTGACACCACAAAAAAACTGTTTAATGTCCGCCTGTTTAAAATACGGTACACCATTTTGTAATGAGTGTTAATAATCGTCGAATTTGAACAGCGCCCCCTATTGAAATTGGTACCAGCCCACCCCCCCCCCTCCCAGTTTTTGATTTAACGGAGGCCAAGTGTCCGGAGAAAAAAACTTGTGTACATTTTCAGAGTTTTTGGCTGATGAAACCCACCCCCCCCCCCCCCTTGCGAAAATTCCTGGATCCACCCCTGGTTTGACTTTACGGTGAGTTTCGAGATGGTTAAATAAGAACTACATTGGTTAAACAAGACTTACATTGCCACTACTGTCCATGTTGCGGTCGGCCCGTTTCTTCATTTCGTGGCGCAGAGCAGTGCGAACCTGAGTAAAAATGCAATTAATGAACATCAAACAGGTGAAATCCACTCGCAAAATGTTAAGCAGCAGTGAAGTAATTTTTTTCAGACGACCTGAGTCAACCTGTATAATATTTACTCCCTCTCTCTTAACACTGCCACTTGTTGCATTCCGCAAAAATCTACAATTGCTTACCTCGGAACTCAGAAGGCAGTAAAAGACGAACATGAAGAAACCCTGCAACAAAAAAATACAAGATTTTTTACTTTCTCTTTTAATGAACACAAACATGAAGACACAAAGTTACATAACTCCTTCAAAAGTGTTCCAAAGTAATGTATGGAATGTCATTTATATGGTATTGAAATATGACCTGGTTATAGCCTCAACCAACACGTGCACATGTTCAGATTACAAAACTGAATCAACTCTTGCAGGGGAATTGTAACACTAATCCATACATTTTTAAGTCCATATTCGTATTTGGTCCGAATTCCAAAATTGGTCGTTTCAATTGTTATCCTACCTGCAAGCCGTTCAAGATGACAAATGCATATTCCAGGACGATGCTGTATTGAGTGAACAGTCCAATGATCCACGAGATACCAAGCAGGGGTACCAACATCAACGCGCTCTTACAGGCGGCCCTGTAACATGGATAATTGTAAGCACTTCCGAAAGATCAAAGAAGGCATATTGTCCAAATACATGATGATACCCGCGAAGTATATACTATATACTTCAAATGAAGTATTCATCTTTCATCATTACTTTACATTTAAACCAGTAGATGAGTAAACGTAAATGTATTGAAACTGATGCATGCTACTCAGCCCTCTCCCTCTACATATTTCTGAAATATATGAATCAAATGAGAGATACAAAAAAAGGGGAAATGAGATCCCTGCTCCGTTTTTGTTTTCAAATTTGTCACAGCCGGCTGACCGGTTGGTATCCCCCCCCCTTCCCTCAATATTTGCTTCTTGATTCACTCTTGGTTGAGAATTATTTAAGTGGCAAATTATTCACCATGGCTTTAGACTAAAAGAAGAAAGGCCTCCATTTCCATTCATTTACCTGATACGGTCCAAATTAGTCTGACACTTGAGGGCGGCAGCACGTGTGACAACCACCACCACCATGACAAGAACCATCATGTTCACCTACGTCAAGAAGAAGCAAAGATTTACAATACGTTTGCAGTTGCGCCATAAGTTATTGTAAGAAAGTTATTCATTTCATTGTTGAATGTGTAACAAACTATGAAAACTGGCGATTTGAATATCTACATCGTACACAAACAAGGGCCAGATGTAGTTGTAAATAACGTTTAGCTTAATGGGCTCCGTGCGCCAACATTTGGGCGCCCTTTTACCAAGCAACGACGTCCCATGGGCGGGACTTTTAGCTGGTTGACGCGCACCGTTTCTTGTGTGTGACGCACTGACGCACGTACGCAAGGAAATTTGTACTGTGTACACGCAGTGGTATGGCCGCGCGTCGCGGAAAAATTGCTGCCAGGCAAGATGGCGTCGGTCGGTCACCCCCAACTGTACTTTCTTTGCCGATGAGGGGGTATTTGTGAACGGAGCGGATACCTTATTGATTAAGGTGGGTATGGTCTTGTTTCTCACTAGGGTGGAAATGAGGGAACTCATTAGCTGCAGTGATTAATAAACAACACATTTCTAAATATACAACCTTGGAAATTGGTAAAAAGAAAACCCTTACCGTGATAATGAGAATGACAGGCCCGACAAAGGCCCAAATCAACCCATCTTGGGCGGTCAACCAGCAGCTGAAATAACAATTCATATTAAAAAATACGTGTACTAAAGAATGTACACGTTTTGGGGTATATCGCACATATATCTACTGATTACGGAATATCAAAGACGTATTATGGTTGATTGTAGCAGTGGTTTTTTCTACGTCTTAATCGTTGCAACTGTCTCTCAAATAAAGTGATCAATGTTACATTGTTAGTCTTACTGTGCTCCAGCTCCATACAGTTTGTATTTGATGCCAAGGGAAACCCCAACCACCAGGGCGGGAACACCTGAGCAACAAAAATAGGAAGAGACACATTGAATGTACAGTTTAGGAAATCCAGAATGAACAGGTACAAATGCTAAAACATCAGTATGCACTGAAAATACAACTCAAAAGGAAATGAACAACTAAAAAAGAAAAGTATGTGGAGGAGAATTATGCCGACTATTATGGGGCGTAGTGGTCCATGCAATACCACATACGAGGAAAATAACATTTGAGAGCAATAAGTTCAATCTCAATAATTTTCTTTTTTACTTAGTCATCAGTAACAATATTGTAACATAGCTTATGCACGTCAGTGTTACCTTTCACTAACAAATATAATGCACAACATGTTTCAGTCATATGCCTATCGGCTGAGCGAAGCACAGCTGAAAGGCCATCGATTATATTATTTGTTGCCTAAAACAGGCAAACAAGTGTATCAGTGAATGGGAGGTGTGTTACTTACCTAACACCATGTGAATGAAAGATATCTCTTAGTGAGGTTCTGAGAGGAACCATTTGGTTAAACTCGATGTTTGGAACAGTAGGCTCTGCTCGTCATCAGACTGCCGGACTCTTGCTGGTGTACCGCAAACCTCCCATTCACTGATCATGTCCACAATGCAAACCATTAAGTCTTATTTTAAACAAGGGTATGTCTTTGGCTAGCTTACCCCATCCTACCACGTAATACAAAGGCAGTTTGCTCCCTCCTTGCTCAAAGACGGCAATGACTTGACGGTACAGATGGACTCCTTCCACCAGGATCCAACAGAACACGGCCAGGAACAGGTAGTGAAGACTTATGGCCACGATCTTACACGGAATCTGAACGTTCACAGGGAAATGATTAATGGTTTAACAATAATTAAAACCGCAAATGCACTACATATTCTTGGTCTTAAAAGGAAAGCGGTAGAGGTAAAGAATTCATATTTATAAAAAAAAAAGGAAATAAGGTCGTCTGTATTTGCGTTGATGCTCATCATTATGTCCTTGTGTAACAATAACAAATAATAACATGTTGCCTTTATAACAAAATAGAAAGGGCAGACCGCAGCTTCAAAATATGGGTAGTGTTCATTTTGTGGCTACAAAAAACTTGGACTGAATATACCCGATAAACCCCTTATAGCCTCATGTTCAATAACATAAGTACGTACAAATGGATTGATACAAATATCATGCCATACCAATTCAAGGTTTGATGCCACGCCCAACAGGAACAGCACCATTGCCAATAGCAGTGCCGACATTAAGTTCTTATGAATGGTTAGGCGCTCTGACGCCAATGAGGACCTGCAAGGATGAAATATATTAATGGGAATCAAACTTCCCAAAGTTGTCTCATAAACTCAGGGGGAAAAATCATTGTCTTTTGTTCCAAACCAAAAGGTTAATGTTCGCCTGCGTTGTCTGATGAAGTAACTGTAGCTACGAAAGTTTATTCCATAATTTCATTTTAGCTAGTCTTTAAACTGCTTCCTTCGTTATATACATGTATCTAGCAGACTAACACGACTGTATACGTTTTTCGTTTAGATTATATTATATGATATATATTCTTGAAGCTACGCTTGAATGGGAGGCATATGGCACAGTATAATACTCATCTGTCTGTAACCTGGGTGCGAATCCCCCAACGGAAAGTCCATATCTGATATCATCAGTGAAAATGTTCTCACAAGACTTTTTTTTAGGGCTTCTCACCCACTTTCAAAAACTTAACGTGTCCTTACATTGATTGCCCCTCACCCGTAAAGGTTTCTTGCAGCCATAATGACTTCGGAGCTTTCATGTCTTGTTTCCAGAAATAAATGAAAAATACCAATCTAGTCCTTTTTTAACCAAAATGGAACAAGCATCAGAGGCAAAATACCACTGAAAGTAACAGATAATACATCCAACTCGTCTAAAAGGTCTAGGTATTAGCATACCCAAGGTAAAAGAACACCACCAGTGCAATGACGAGAGACACAATGGAGATAGTCGAGCAGGTGTAGGTCAGAACCAGCAAAATATTGCCATGGATGTCAGAATCAGAAGTCACCTAATACGGAAGGAAAAAGGATAGGATGTGTAGCTGGCTTATACTGATGCTTAGGGGCAGCATGCATCTTTTGGTTAGTTTAGGAAAGAGCAGTTTAATAATTACTCGCCTTAAAACGAGGTTGGTGGCTGCAATCATTCGCTATTAAAGTTATTGTGTTACGTTAGCCTGACATTTAATGCGTATTTTATTTTTTTTTTGCTGTCAAGGGATACTGATATGTGGTGTAGCAATATAACAGTAGTATATTAGTAGTTCTGTAACAGTATAAGCATGATTGAACAATATAGGTCACCTGATCAGCGTCACGTGACAAAGAATGTGAATATCTGATACCATCCTCGATCACAGTCACCTTTTTTTTTGCTTCGAAAATCCGTGAAACATAGGTGTCTTTGCTCAGATTGTCGAAGTACACTGATTACCTGGGTTAATTTTATCCAAGATACGGCGAAAACTGCAATTACCCAAAATTGGGTTGTTCTATAATCAATTGTTTGGGTTAAAATTTCCGTAAAATTCAACCAAAAGTTGTAGTCATACAAGACCAAATTTAATTTGGACTTGTATATTGACTACAATTTTTGGTTGAGTTTAACAGAAATGTGGTGATCCCCCACAGCAGCAGCCACAGCAGGGGCATTATATTGAGTCTGGCCCAATCGCTTCGAAAGCGAGATGGGCATTCCGTTCCTGTGAACACAGGCTCGCCCCTTTACCTTTTTTTACCTTTTACATGGCGGATGTTTTTGTTCTCAAGATCTTGCTTAAATTACCAGGTTTACATAATTTGCAGGAAGAATCAATAAAGATGCTTACAGGTTTGTCAACCACTTGCATCAGGACTGCAAAATTTGTTGTGTGGTTGCAGAAACAAGACACTGCATCTTCCGTTTCCTTGTCTGATTCCACAGTGTAGCAGCCAAAATCGGACCACCTGCCACTGCCTGGTGTAGAACTACTGTGTGAAAGAAATATAAGAAGTATAAGTTTACGGGTATCGCCAAAACATCGGGTATCGTCAAGAGCTGCGTCCTATCAGAAAAATATGTTGTTACAAAACAAATCGATAACACGTATAATCGACTGCTGCAAAACAGTGGGATCCTGTAAAATAACATAAAAAATACAGTGGAATCTGACGTAAATATACAATGATCAGAGAAAAAACAACAGTAGAATTTACTTTGCAAAAACAGTAACTTCTGATTATTTTATATAAGTTAAACGTAGGTATGAGTGACACACTTTTACAAAAATATTTAAAACAAAAACAGCGTCAGAATATAGAACAGAAAAATAAACAAAATAGCAAGCAAAGGTAGTATTCAACTTATTCTTTGTGGTATAATACATAGTCACCTTTTATTAAACTCCCAAAACACACAAGTGAATTGTGGCCGCTCGTGTTCCTCGATAACTACATCCTGTAATGTAAAAGAACAGAAAATTCATAGTTAAACTTTGAGCTATGATTCGCTATAATGGCAGTAATTTCCTTAATTTCAATGATGTTCATGAGATTTTGAGTTTACACTTCCTCAGTTTGTCTATAGAATGTTCCCAACTTAATTTATGAAGTATATTGGAAATTTGAGACCCATTTTATGTATCACCTTATAAGCGTTTACAAGGTGCTTCGGCGCATTAAGCACCTATGCTGCCAGAAACACCGGGGCGAACCCCTTCTCTTAGCGATAAGTGTTACATGGTTACTGGACCTACGTATACAGCTTTACGTTCAATCCAAAGAGAGAAGCAATAATAATGGTTAAGTGTCTTGCATGAGGATATAAGTGTCAAGACCGGGACGCGAACCCGCAATCTGCTGATCAGAAACACCATCAGAGCTTGGGATCGGTGCTCTACACCTCTCGGCCATGACACTCCACAATTCAACACTATAATTACCTCAAAAAACGCATTAAACCAGAGGTAATCGGATTAGAAAGTGTTGAGTTGTTTGAACTTACTCCCACATCTTTTGGGGTCGAATATGACACTGACATTGATATTTGGTCGCTGCTGGATGCCATGACAGTCACGATGTCGTTCTGAAGTCGCTGTCCTCTCTCCGGTGTCATGGCCATGTCATCGTCGGGGATGTCCTTCGGTGACATAACGGCGATATTTCTAAACACTCCACCGACAAGAAGAGCCCTCTCGTAAGCTTTTATTTTCAAATGATAGGAGAAATAAATAAAATGGCGTCTGTCAGAAATTGTGCCTTATTAAATAATGTTGTTGGTGTAATTTGCTTTAATTAGACAACTTGGAGGCTTTCGAGAAATGTCTCCATCATTCGTATGGCTGAAGAAGCCTTTCGTTCTTTGCGCAATATTAAAACAATCTACTTACCAAGTCGGCCTTATTGCTGATAACTTTCTTTTTTAGAAACGTTGCATAGTCATACCATATTTAGAAGTATTCCTAAAATGAGGGTTTTTTTTACCACAAAAGGCAGTAAAACAAACCCCAAAGTTTTACCGGAAAAGTTCTTCTCTTGAAATTCTTGGGCCGCGATTGCAGCTGCGAATTTGGCGTCCTTGCTCGTCCAGTTCCACCCAGACAGAAGGAGATCGTCCGGAGAAATGTCGTACAGGTTAAGGCCTAAACAACACAAGATGAATGATTTTGAGACACATGTCTATGAAACTTTAATTGCTGGTACTGTTTATTTATCTTTATTATTTTCGATAGGAAATAAGCAGAGGCTCACGAGGCTGTACAGTAGTGGAGTAAATAAAAGAGGCGCGGCCATGGGGAAGACAAACATTAGCTTTGGTTGCTAAAACATATTTAGTCACCCCTATCCCCAACTCCAAAAATGACTGTCCCCGCCAGAAAGTGAGTCCCCCCCCCCCCTTGGGATGAACTACAGTTACGCCACTGATACGTTTGTTCTGTGGAGCGTTCATACGTAAAAAATAGAATAATACTTTGTCGTATGAAATAGAGGTCACTGACGCCAAAGAACAATGATTAGGTCAACACTTCATTCATGGATTCAGTTAACAATATTCGAACAATGAAATGTTACCGATATTTTCTGAGACTACTTCAACTGAAGACTTCTTGTTAAGTTTCGTCCCTACTTTCAAGGCCATTTTCTCCAAAGAGTTGATAATTTGGATCGGTCCTGAAACTTGTTCGTCCTAATAGCAAAAAATAAGAGAGGAAATAACACTTTAGTTAAAATAGTTAGTGCATTAATTCTCGAACGAACACAATTAATGCAGCCACACAACTCGAATGTATGTAATGCAACAAAAAACGCAAGACGGTCTGTATCTAATAAGCAGAATTGTTCATGCACAATCAATCAAACGTATAATAATATTTGAGTACACGGTCGAACGCAAAATGATTCTTTTATGACTTTTTGGTATAACTTGCAGCTATCTTGGTACAAATTGCACTTAACTTGGTTAAACGTGATATTTCTTTGCATGTCTGTTAATGTTGTAAGACTATAAGTTGGTGCTAGCAAATGGGATTTAACTTAGTAATAACAAGTTGTTAACTTGGTTTAACTTGGATTAACATGGTAAAACTTTGTGTTGACTTGATATGATTCGGTTGATCTGGTTCTTGTAAGAACCACCTCTCTCGTTTTTTTCATGGTATAATTGTATATGTTTATCGTATATGAGCACCTACCACTTCCGCCTCCTTCCAAGAGTCTTCATTACCAGTGTCCAGCAGGTTGCTCCCAACATTCACCATTCTCTGCAGGTTGATAATACATTTTTGAATACCTTCTACCACTCTGACATCGAGACATGAATATTATACTTGTTCCTCGACATTGACAGTTTTACAAGGGTTCAACATGTAAATGTGAGTTTTATAAACCTTGCTTTCTCAAGAGTAACCAATACTCCAAATTCTATTTAATTTGTAGCAGCTAATGTATGTGAATGACAGTCTGACAGAGACTCGGCATAACTTGTATCCTGATGTCAACAGTGGGTATACGTCACCACAATGCCATGCCCCTCCCCAGACTGGACATTAAACCTCCGTTACACCACTGGTTGGTGTTTTAAGTGCCCACATTCAATCATGAATCGAAGAATGCACCCCGCTATTATACCAGTGCATTGTCCATACTATATACGTGGAAATACAAATCAATACCTCTAGCGCAACTTGGGAGCTGCCAGCGTCACTCGAGTCCCAGTCTGAGTTGGCAACAGAGTCTAGGAAGTTAACGGAGGCGATTAAATCTGTGGACGGGATACTCTCGGTCCTGTTGGCGGTGACTTTCAGGAGGACTTTCAGACCGACTTCGGACACTACTGTGGAGATACCAGTGCTGCTCCCAGAGAGGGAGTTGCACAGAAAGGCAGTATCCTACAAAGGAAAGGAACATGCAAATTAATTGATACGAGAATTATGGACTTAATCGTCAAAATTAGCTTGATTAGCTTGTTCTTTTAATGAATAAATTAAAACTGGGATGTAAAAAAATGATTCCCTACCTGTCAAAATTTCACAATAATTTTCATGAATGAGACAAATTGGTGCGTTAAGTTTGATACGTTTTTTGATACGTTTTTTGCACGCCTAAAAATACAAGATCGAGTAAGTTTTTAATATATTGATTTACGTTTTGTTTGGAATATCATTGCGAGGTTTGAAATTTAGCATTTCTTCAACTGTCCTATCTCCTGGTCACTTCAGGCTTCCGAAGACTGAATTTTGAAGAACTGTGTCAAGAAAATGAGTTAACAAAGAAATACAAGGGCAAGATAAAACTAGATACCTGTTCGCTTAGTCCTTGTGAGTCCGCTTCCAGTCTTAAAGCATCCAGAAACTCTTGAGATTGTCCGGGACCAGTCTCGCTATAAACTCCATCAGAAAATGTTAATTCCGTGGCTATCACAGCTTCAACTGGTAAACACACAGGCGCCTTGGTGCTGTAAAGGCCCGGAATTTCAACAGATGATGTCATCAACAAAGTAGTGTAGTGAGCCGTTGAAGGAACCTCTGTTGTCGGCTGTTTTGTTGTGGTTGGTGAATAAGTGGTGGTCGGTAAAACAGTCGTTGGTACATCTGTGGATGGAACAACAGTCGTTTGTTGAGAGGTTGTGGGTGCTGCAGTGGTTGTTTCAGAAGTTGTGGGCGCTGCAGTGGTTGTTCCTGAAGTTGTCGATGCTACAGTTGTTGTTTCAGAAGTTGTCGATGCTTCAGTGGACGGCTTTGCAGTTGTTTTGGCTTCCGTTGTAGTGCGTTGTTCTGTGGTTGGTTCATCCGTGGTTACTCTGGCTGTGGACAGCTCTTCTGTCGTTGTCAGTGCCACCGTTGTTGTCTGTGTCTCCGTCGTGGTAGGATTGGTCGTCGTCTTCTCGGTAGTTTGCGACATTTCAGTGGTCGGTTGGGCAGAGGTTGCAGCCGATGTCAACCACCTTTCGGTGGTTGTGTTCACAGGTACACAACTCTGCTCGACACAGTCGTACACCGGGCCTTGGCGACAATCACTATCCACTGCACAATTACCTGATGTGAGTATACAAGTGGCTTAGGTAATGAGGCTGTGAGATAAGGCTCTCTACGTCTGTGCCCGTGGCTCAGAATTTGGAGAAGAATTTTTGGAGAAGACTTTTTCGCTACGCGGCAACCAGTGGTCCGATTTTAATGTTTTTGGTATCAAAAGATGCGCAAAGCTCGAGGCTAAAAAGTCATAACAGCTCGGGTCGCGAAAACAATTTTTTTAGAGGCTATCACGGAAAATGTTGAGGGGGGGGGCGGATTCCGCCCCCGGCCCCTTTAGGGTTAAAAATTTTCAGAAGGAGGCCTGCTTTATACTATGTTTTATACAGACGAGTGTCTGATATAAGCAAACATTCCTGTGACAGAAATACTCAAGGAATATAAACGCGTTAAATGCTAACATAAAAGGGCATTTTTAACCCAAACACTATTAAAGTTGCCAAGACTTGAAAAAGCTGATAAACGGTCTTAAGACTTGTAACAATTAAGGCACGATAACAAAATTATTTTGAATTGCAAAATGAGCCACCTTTCCTACTGACAGCTGTATTTGGGAACCTTTGAGTAGACATTATGTTTATTGAAAATAATACTTTTCCTTTTTAACGTAAATTAAGACTTGCTGTTTCGATGTTAATGCAATTTATCAACAAAATTTAACCAAAAAACGGGAGAATCACAGAAAAAAACTCACTTGGAGCTCCGCCCTGTAAATTACAGCCAAGTAGTTCAAGACGTAATCCAATTTTTGAAGCTTGAGGATAAACAACCACTATTTTTATGAAGTCTGTTTCCACGGGATACGGGAAAATATTTGTCACGATTTCTGTTTCGTCCGAGTTCAAGGTGAAAACCTGTAAACAAATGATAAAACGAGTGGATGGGTTATTCTTGTTCGCTTGTCCCAAAGACATCCAGCCTATACAGTACTCTTTGTATCTCAGTGACTCCCTGTCACTGTTGAGAGCCGGGCAGTGCTATCGTATAGGGTAACCCAGTCACGTGGGCTACATCCGGCCATTTTGTACAGAGGCATGAAACTGAATATATATTTGTGGGATCTGGGACTAGCTTTACTAGGCTTGCCTAAGCTCAGTGTTGTAGAACAGGTACTCGGTACTCGTACTCAAGTACTACTCGAGTACCTTTTTCAAAGTACTCGTACTTGCACTCGAATGCCGAAGTACTAGTACTCGAAATGATGGTACTTGTACTTTGGCAGCAAAGTACTCATACTCGACATCTCAAAATTGTACTCGATCATCTCGTACTCGAATAGCAGTACTCGAAACCAAAATGGTTTAGCTTGACTTACCACGGCCTTCAATTTTATCGATACTTTCAGTTTGAAATGGTAGATTGGCTTGCGGAGAAATCAAAGTTTCCTGATTTCCTCTGTGCGCGTCCGAACAAACACAAGTCGGTGTGTTTATCGGTCTCACTGGGCCTGGGCCAATTACGCAAAATGAACCATTTTCCGTATGGCTGTATTCGGAATAGAAGTACTCGTAAACTCGTCCTCGGAAGTACAAGTACTCGAACACGGAGACCTGTACTTGTACTCGGAAGTACAAGTACTCGTAATCGTACTCGGTAACCTAAGTACTCGGCAGTAATCGGTACTCGGAAAAAAAAGTACTCGACTACAACACTGTCTAAGCTTGTTCGAATGTAGCATGTAAATAAATCGACTTATTGAAATAATTGTGAATAAAATGCGTTATTTTGAAACCACTTTTAGCTGTAAAAGAATTCACGAGTTAAGAATGGCTGCATTGTTTTAGATATACGGCAACATTTGTTCCCATCAATCTCCTTCAAATGAAAAGTTATGGAATGCATCGGCTACTTTTAAATTTTAAAGGCCAAAAATACAATACATTAAAAATTGCACCATAAGAAGAACTTCGTGATGACATGAAAATGCAAATGTAGCATGGTTTGAAGTTGCTCCCAAAGTATTGGAAGTTGACAAACTAGTTCCCGAGGCGAAGCCTCGCGGTTGACAAGAAAGTGATGGTTAATGGGCCAGTGAAAATTCGGCTCTCGCTCATGAATAATGTATGAGATGTAGAAATATCATATAGAATGCAAAGTCATATTTAAAAGACGTATATCTAACCTTTTGTTCGCCATTTTCCTGAATCGTGAAGATGGTAGCGAGGCCACCATACTCAACTGTTGCTGTTCTGATAAAATCACGATCAGGAAACCCCAGGATATAGATAACTTCACCATGTGTGCTCATGCCTGTTACTTTTGTGGTCTGGTTAAACTGTACCTATCAAAATAAAATGTAAAACGTACAAAGAACTATCAAATGCCTTTCAACTATAGTGTTCAATTGAAAACAAAATGTGTAAGGTTTTCAATCTTCCTTCCATAATAAATGAACACATTTCAGTACAGGTTTTAGAGCCATTACACAATGGCGGACATAAAAACATAAGACTACGCCAGCCAGTCATCAGCCAGCCAGATAGGTACGAAGAGGATATAGAGCTGGCCTCATGCGACCACCAAATAAAAAGTTGAAAATGGTTCTTAAAAACATTATTCCAACATGTTGAGTCTGGTTCCCTACCTCATTCCAGCAGATATTCTTACCATTAACCACGGGGCCGGGTCAGAATCTTCAGGGGACCATGCCCCAGGGTTACCAAGCCGTGCGTTCGTGTGTGGCCCAGTGGCGCGAGAGGTGGAGGCGGAAATTTGACAATCTTGGATCTCTCCGGACTCCAGACCAAGCGGGGACCAGCATTCTAATAATACCACAACAATGAATATCAAAGAAGAACATTTCGACAATCTCGAATCGAATAATTGCTTGAAAAAAATCATATGCGTTACATCAAAAAGCCTACTACTTTTTATTTCAAAACTGTTCAACTGTGGAGTGCTTTGGCCTCGTGGCCGTGGGCATTGAGTTCGTGGTCTGCGGGTAATCCTGCAGGTTGTGGGTTCGAGACCAGCCTGGTTAAATGGTGCATGTGTCCTTGGGCAAGGCACTTTGTCACTAATTGCTTCTCGCCACCCAGGAGTGAATGGGTACCTGTGAGGGCAGAGATGGTTATTGTGATTGATTGATTCTTGCTACTTCTTCAGCAATCAATGTGTCTGTATATTTGTAAAATAATTGTCTCGCAGAAGAAAATAAACACAGCTGGCTAGATTAGAACAAGTCATAGAGTTAAAACAATGACGTAAATGTTGAGTCAAACCTTTCTTCCTCAAAAATATTTAAATAAATCACGAAGGAAATTTTTTTTTACAATGCACCTATGATAAATTAGTTTCACACAAGACTTGAACTGTTTGAAATTTGGCTAAAACATTACCATCACTTGTAAGAATCTGTCCAAAACTGTAATCCGTTCATATGCCTAAATTTCATTTTATGGTTTTAAAATTCTGTAATGACGAAAGTTCACTCACCCATACACGAAGGTAGTCTATCTGACAATACAGCCGACACCGTGACTGCACATGCGCAATGTCCATTATCGCATAAACTGGTTGCATTACAGTCCGTAGCCATGGCACACTCTTGGAGATAAAACAAGATGCAAAAGAATGCGTTATTACGACATCTGGTTGCCTGATGGACAGAATAAAGCAGAACATTTCAGCTAAAAAAAAATAAAGCACAAAATTATGATAACCTTCGGCGTGGATGTGCTTGAGATTACATCTCTACCCTGCAGAATCCAACAGGGTCCAACTATTTCATACCCGATGGAGCCTGTTGCATTGAGCAGTAAACCCCTTGTGTACATTCCTTATGCAAAATGTTGGTTTCAGTAGGCATCTGAACCGCATTATAACGCCATGATGGACTCCGTTGGATTCAACGGACAACTGAAAATAAGGCACAGAGGATTGAGCAGGAAACTGCGGTTGCACTCTCTTGGATTTAGCAGGGTAGTCCTGAGGAACTATTAGGGGGTTAGACTTTTTTCCCCTCTAGAAACCTCCATGCGCGCGCAATCGTTAGCACATCAACACCATCAAATAGTGCTATAAGGTTAGCACAATCTTTTGCTATAGTGAACACAACTTTTAAGGTAACTGTTCTAAAGCAACTGCAACGAACACTTCACTATTGTCAAGACAACTCTGCAACGCAACGGATACACAGCCAACCAAATCCAGACACAAGATCTAAAACCACATCCCGACCAAAGGGTCTGCTATACCCAAGGTCAGCCCCTAGGCACAGGACAGTCACCCTCCCGTACATAGGCAGTCCCTTACACCACATCCAGCGCATTCTCAGCAACAACGACCGTGACATTGTTAGTGTCACAAAGACAGGCAGTGCCCCGAGACCAAACCTGGCATTTACAGGATTCCCTAGCTGTGAATGTACATCAGGGAAACTAGACGTGATTTCAACACATGACTGAAGGGACATAAACCACATGGCCGACGAGGGGACTAAACGGGGAATCCTTCATCATCAAGCCTCCCCACTGCGAAGACCACACCATCAACTGGCAACAAGCACAGCTCATCACCAACATCCAACAGTGGAAAAAAGAAAAGAAAAAGAGGCGCGAAGTCATAGTGGTGCAAATTTGATAGCTTGGGCTCTAAAACTGATAAATCGAGAACGTGTTGAGAAATACAGGGATTTTTGGGCAAAAAAATATGTTTTGCCCCTCTAGAAAAAATCCTGGCGACGCCCATGTTATCTGGCGACCTTTCCTTTAATGTATAGTTCCAATGAGTATTCTTTACCCACGAACCCCATCCAATCCCCATAGTTCCCCCTCAATAGAATTTCCTATGGGTCCTCTATACCCCTCGCACTTTGCTTGATGTTCATCCCAGCTGTAGGCCTACCGGCCACCATCCGTCTTACATGTTTCATTGAGCACGCGCAGCCCATTTAAGCATCTTACACGGCATCGTAATTAGTCACCTGTTAGAATCTCCCGTGATTCGTCCAGTTAAACCAACTGGTTCTTCTCAAAACCACACAACTCACAAGAGATATCATTCACATGGTGCTACCGCAAATCTCCCATTCATTGTTGAGTATAGCGCCATGAAATTGGGCCCTGATCTCATTAAGGAATACATGTAGTAAAACGTTAACCCCTTTACGTTTTATACTTCATAATCAACGAAATTATATAGATGTGTTTTCGCTTGAAGAGCTAAGTAAAACAATCATTACATTGTACACCTTTAAAACTTGTGCCTGCATATTACATCCCAGCTGAAGAAATTGTGCAGTAACGCACCAGAAGCAGAACAGAACTCATCACAGACATTAATCGAAATCACTCCTTAGGCCTACCAGTGCTGGGCTGTTCGTAGCATCCGTAGAGCTCCATACGCAATCCAATTAGAGGGTTTCTCACGATGACGAGGCGCACGTCTATCACACGCAGCGATGGCTCAAAGTCAAACTTCACGATTTCCCCTACCTCAGTGTAATTGGCCGAGAGAACCTGTTAGTGAAGCGCGAAAAGAGGTAGTTCCTGATTTAATTCTGGGCATAGACAATTTAGCTTGATAAAAGCAATGCTCGATTTTATTGCATTCTACAACAGGTTGAGCTGATTTCGACGAAGCATTATGCTACTCAAACTTAACCTGAAGTTTTGAAGATACGATATTACTAGTAGCATGACTTTATTGATTTAGGAATTTATTGATGATCAGACATACAATAAAACAGACATTTTAAAAAAATGGCAGGCCCGAAGATTGCTCACAAGCGAACTAAATCACAAGCAAAATACAAACCTTATACAGTACAGCGCAGTCATATAATTTTTTTTGAAGTAAACAATAGAGACATTCACCTAAGATCGCAAAAAAAAGACATTAAGGTCCAATTATAAGTTAAACAAAAAAACTTTAAAAGATATAAAAACCTTATCTAAGAAAAATAATAATTTAATAGAAATTGACCGGAGCCCCACTTTAGTACCTGGGTGGTTCATTTGAAAAATTTGTAAACAAAAAATTAGAAAGTTTGCGGACAGGGAAGGCAGGTTATCCTCTATGGGTTTCAAATAAAAAAATATACTTTTTGGTTACTCAAGATGCCGAGAAGGGCACATGTAAAGGACTTTCAGCAACCGTCAGTGGAACATTTAGGCTTGTTTTTGTATTGTTCAGAAACTGTATGTCCTTCCCTGTTTGGGGGCATAGACGGGGTATTGAAAGGAGACGTGATACATAATCACGTAATTACTGATTGCGTCAACTACTTTTCTGGATGTTGAACAGGGGCTAATTTCATTGAGCTGCTCAGCACAGCAGTTTGCTAAGCTTAGCAATTTTATGCTTAGAAAAAAAAGTAACCAGCCAAACCGCCATGATATTTGCTCATGATATTTGCAAACCCCGGCCGATATTTGCTTAGCAAACACATCTAATCAGCGAATTCTTCTCTGCTTAGAAACTCCGTGAAGTTGCGCCCCAATCATGGAACATTTGAGCTTACCCCCCAAAAAACATCTAATCACAATGGTCACATTACTCACTATTGGGTATCTAATCCATGCCATGTCGTCGCCCCTAACAAGAAGATGGAAATCGAAAAGAGTCCCTTCTGGGGGCGGGGCCGGCGAATCTGCAGCCTGGGTGCTAAGCCTGGTCAGCCAGGCTCCTTCTGTGAAGGAGACTTGGATCCAGGGATCGGAATCATACGACTTGGGTTTCCAGCCGGCGGAGGCATGGTGAAGACGAGCGTTGGCCGCCGGGCCCGTCGAGTCACTAGAAGATGCCGATATCATAGCGTCTGTTATCAGCGATGACTCCATACCCAGCGGGTTCTCTGCGCAGTTCACTGGCAAGCAACACCGTGAGGAAATCAGCAAATAGCTAAATCAGTTTAACAATTTTACAAAAAGCGCTTAGACTTATTTTGTTCATATCTGCCAGTCAACTATGAGGTCCAGCTTCAAAGTCAACGGTGGTGGATTTGGGCCTTTTAATTAAGAATCGGCGTTATTTTGAGTTCACGATGAAATTATCATTTGTAATTCATTTTGTTATGATATTCTAATTTTGTTAAATGATAAAGAATATGCATAGTGGCATCACGAAATGAGTACGGCTTCATGATCAGAGGGTCAGGGGTTTGAATCCAGTTACTGGCAATGTTTTGTCCCTGGGCAAGCCACTTGCCTCTCTCCGCCCAAGAGTATAAATTGGAACGCTACCAGCATCATAGCTGGTGAGTAATCACCCCTGCGATGGAATGACATCCCATCCAGGGGAAGATGGGCCACATTCCAGATGGGCCACATTGGCTCGTGACGGACTTTGCTTCCTATCATGATATGGCCCTTTGACTTTAAGGAAATGATAACGGTACCTGTGGAACATTTAGATCTACTTCATATAAAAGAGTGGAGATACTTAAACACTGAATGTCTTTAAGGTAACTTTGAATACATACATCCTAACATTTTGAAATATTAGTTTAAATTAAAACACATTACAGAATCAACAACACATGGTGCTCGAGAGGTTATTGGAAAAACGCAATTACTATTGTTTATCAGTGAAGGCGTTTCCTGCATAACTGCTTTGCAAACCAAGAACCAAATTTGTGCAAAGTATTCATCGAAGAGCAAAACAGTGTGTCTAAAAAAAATGCAAAAAAAATATACCGGAATGCCAAAAGGTAGCATGTGTAACCAACATTGGTATGATTTGAAAGATACGCTTCTCCATCCTAAAATGAGAAACAGTACGTGTAACAGTTTCATAAAATTTCGATTATATTTAAACGCATTTTATAAAGAAGTTCCAAGCTAATACAGAAGAAAAAATGTCAATATAGCGGGTCAGATTCGACCCGAAAATCCCAGTCAGATTCGACCATAACACTGATCCGTGTAAAATTGACACTTTTCTTAGTCAAAATGACAAAGACGTTGGGGTCAAAATAACACTTCTCCGAGTCAAATGGCCCTGAAAAAAAAATGACGACTTGGGGAATAGGCATTTCGACCCGGAAATGGTGAAATCTGCCCAGAATTTTGTTGGATCTGATCCCGGACTTTTACGAGCGTATGTGCAAGTAAAGACATCTACTTACGTGGCAAAAGTACACTCGCACATCAACTACTGTGCTGATAAAAGTACAAGAGTGGTCATTCAGGAGGAAAGAGAATAAAACGATTAAATGAGGGTGAAACATTCCTTATGAGCGTGCAAATTGTACACAGTGATAACTTCTTTGCACTGTACTCCAAAACGCAGGCAACTTACCCACGGATGAAACACAAATTTCCATTAGACGCAAAACAACCTGTGGTGTATGGGAAAAACAACCAAACACTTTAATGGTGCTCAATTGTTTTGAGATAAAATAAAGCAAACTTCAACTTTTATTGATTCGGAGTTGTGGTATGATACCAATGCGTATCCTCTATCCAATATTTGGGTCCAGCGCCCCAAAAATGGTTGAAAGCGGAGTGGGTTTTATAGATGCGATTATAGATGTTTATTAAAACAACATATTAACTGCTTTCAGAGTGCATATAATTCTGTTCAATTGATTTAGTGTGGCTATACTCTTTTCATGAGTCTGATGTGCACAATAGGTCGGACTTAGCCCATCATTGGCGTTACGGGGCAATCGGGCTAATCATTATACGATATCACTGCAAAGACTATGATGGTCAGTGATATATATTCAGTACGATATGTACAAAGAGGACATTCTGGGACCAGCAACAATGGCAACGAGTGGGTGGAGAGGGGTTCTAAGTAGGCTCCCTACCCCAACACATCCATCTTTGTAACCACCGCCAATCGTGGACCCCATATTGTCCCTAATATTCAATCCTTTCAACTTTTTACCAAAGCTCTCATTGGCTTTGTACTCGAATTTCAATCGTGGACTATCGGTCAATCGTGGACCTATATAGACAAAAGGGTTAGGGCACAGACGCGATTAACCGAGAGTCCACGATTGAAATTCGTGGACGTATTGTTTGTGCCCTAGCCCTTTTGTCCTAGGTCCACGAAGCCGTGTGTATTTGCCTGCAATTGGTGACCCCTATTGTCCCTCTTTTGTTTGTATCCTAACTTTTTAGGAAGACCTCCCATATGTTTTGTACACGATCGTAAATTGGGGACCTTCGGGAATTGGGTACCCTATTGTCCTCTATTGTCCAACGTCCCCTTTTGAATGCAGAAACAATCTCACTGGCGCGCTCGTTTGTTTATGGTGTAAAGAGAGGATTTTCAATTGTTCCTATTCCCCTTTCCCTTGTTTATATATATATTTTTTTGCAACAGCTCTCATTGGTTTTGTACACGTTTTCTAAGCAAGGTCGTCCAGGTTCCTGTCCGTAATTCATGGATGATGCTGCATGTGTGTGTCCTCGATTTACATCATAAACACGCACCCGCCCAATCCAACCTTACCCTGCTGGGTTCGCCACAGTGGTGAAGTTGTCTTTAGTTATTGCTTTCTCGTCAGCACGAAAAGTCCAGCAACAGGCAAATATGAGCGGATCCATCTATCGCAAGAACTCACATCTTCCATAAAGACTAACCTTCGTGTGCCTCGGTGATGAAGATCTGAATTCGGCCGCCGCAACAAAAACGTTCATGACCTACCTCGCAGCCACTGTGCTAGAACCTTTTACTTTCTAGAAACAACGTATACGTCAGTGCAGCATTCAAGGAGATGCCATTTTGTACACAGCCTTGGCTGAATTTTGTTAATTAAAATAAACTAGCGTGCACCGAAAGCCCTTGGCGTGAGCGCTGATCGATACAAGGTCTTGTTCGTCGTAATGAAAAATTACTAATTGTTGTCTTTATTAATTTCGACAGTGGTCGATGTACCGTGAAAGAAGTACATTGGGCGTGCTGACTACATGAGAAATTTAGGAGGAACCACAACCAGTCACAGCTTACAGTCTTTATTAGTATGGCGTCAACAGTGACATTCGAACGAAACACCCCGGAATTGAAGCCCCTGAAACCGATAAGTAGAGTAGGCTCCAGCTCAATTAGTCTCCCGTTAAAATTACAGGCTATGGAGATGTCTTACAGGAAGTTAAGGATTTTTAACGTCATACCCGTTTTACATGAAAACAATTAATGCTAGTTGAATTGACACGACGATTGATTTCTAATTTCCTGATTCATTCCTGAAAGAAAACTCATTTTCGTGAAAATTCCTTTAAAACCCCGACAGAACAAAAATTGTAAACAGGTTGAAGTTGAACATCGTTTCTTTTTCACTTAAATCGTTTCAATTTGGATAGACTGGCATGCGCAGCGTTCTATAGCTTCAATTTCCGGTAAAAGTAAAGTGCTGTTATCCAATAAAAATTTGCAGCATTTCAAGTCTATTTTCAATGATTGTACCCAAAAAACTCACGCGAATCGACGCATACTAACGAAAATACTTTTCAAACAACCGTCTCCTGGGTTAGTTTTCACAAATTCGAAGATATGGCCCAAAAAAAAGTCTCCGGTTTCTGGTTTGGAGCTTGCCCAAAAAGTGGTGCGGGGACGCGGCTTTTTTTTTTTTTTACCTGATTTTTTGCTTCAAATGTCGGCTGATGACTGCAAATGGTGTCCGACTAAACTTAGTGGAAATATATTGGAGTCCAGAGAGGCCACATAAAGCTTATTTATCGATCATAACCCCATCTAAAAACAAGTTAAAACTATGCAGCAGCAGGATTTCAGTCAAACCAGTGAGTTTGGCGGTTTTGAGACATCATCTTTTGTTGAAAAAAAACGCGCGCGCATACCAGAAACCGGAGACTTTTTTTTTGGCCTATACTTTAAACAGTCTTAGGGGACGGCCAACTCCTTTGGTGCACCGAATATCCACATTTTGACTTTACCTTCAAAGATTTGCGATTGCCAACAATATAACAAGGAACCCAAAGCATGAACGCTTACCTGCAAAAACAACGACCAGGCGACATTCCCACGGAGTTTCATTGTGAAGGGCAATATTTCAAAAATTAAAAAGGAGGGTTTTTTTGAACAACCAGTATATGCGTTCCTTAAAACGCAGACAGCCAAATGTCAACGTGACCCCCAAGACGTGAGTTTCTTATTAAGGTCCAAAGTCACGTCTGCGTACGTCTTATAAATACAACACCCAATACTGGTTTCTAAACTGTACACCCTTGCTTTCCTATTGGACGGATGTCACACGTGCCCCTCATAATTAAAATCATGGTCAGAATTCAGTACAATGACGGTCATCGCTTATCGATTTCCAAAGTGAAACAGATAAGGGTTTATATATGTAATTAACCTTGAATATTGATGCAGCGGAGACGCTGTAGACATTCAATGACGATCGATGTCTGACAACGTGGCGCCGTCACGCTATACTAGAATATTGACACGATGTCGAACAAACGATAAACGAAAACAACATATGTTTTGCCATCTCAGCGCACCGGCGGATCTAGGAGGAGGGGACGAAGGGACTGACCCCCTCCCCTCCCTGACTTAGCGAATCCATCCTCCTTCAGCCCCCACCTTTTCTCTTAATTCCAAAGAGTGAAATTAGGGACTAGACGTTTTAGAGTGAAAATCACTCTCATTTTTGATTGAAATAGTTTGAAGAAAAAAACCACTTCAGCCGAAGCTCGAGTGGAAACTCGATCTTTACGATTGAGGAAATTTCACTCTAAAACGTCTAGTCCCGGCTAGTTTCCGACTGTGGGACTGAATCTTCACTCGAATGGAGTGAATTTTTCACTCTTCGGAATTTAGAGAGTTACCCACTACCACGCTTACAATATAGCGCCCCCTTCAAATTGCTGCTCCGGGGCGGATTCAGAAATTTTTGCAGGGGGGGGGGGGTCATTAGTCACAAAAAGTCTGAAATACAGACAGGGTTTTTATTTTTTCTTCCTCCGGACACTTGGCCTCCGAAAATCGATAGGTGGGGAAGGGGGACGGCTCGTACCATACGCAGGGATGTGTGTGAATTGTTTTCGTTGTGCTGAAAGAGCCCATACCTTGTTTGCGATCCGTGGACAGAAATATAAAACGGTGGTTGTGTTTAAATTCCGTAACTTGAAAAGTACATGAAGAAAGCATAAACTTTCTTTAACTTTGGGCTAATGAAATTGGGCTTTCAACTCCTACATTTAAAAAGTGCTACATGCAGAACTTCACTTAAACAATAGTCCCGAGATTTGGGTTTCGCTTTTTTGACTCGCCTTGTATATTTGGCCAATCATTGGCTGACATGATGCCGGATCAATGATGGTTTAGAGGCCATTTATTTGCTTGTTTTTGAAGTTGGTCTTTATAATTATTACATATTAATATACCCCACGTGATCGAGTCTCAACCAATCAGAAGCCATGAACTCTCCAAGGTATTTATTAATAAAGCATAAATGTGACTCTTCCTTTTGGACAAATCATCTGCAGGTTGTGTTCGTTATTAAATTGAAACAGTAAAACCATTAGTTTGCAAGCCGAGTATCGAAACTAGATTATACAGTTAAATGAAATCAATGTTAATCATATTAACATTATCGCTTTATGCATAAGGCGATAATGGTACATTTTAATGGTACAATAGGCATGCATATATGCTAGAAAGTCCTCCATACCATTCTAATGCGCTCTAACACTCAAAGCGGAACTGTCTGTTCGAAATAGTTGAGAAAAAGGGATTCACATGAATATACATGGTAAACTTTTGACCAATGGGTTTTAAATACAGGATTTGTTAAATTTGCTGTTATTCGTATTAACGTGTGAATGACAAATCAATCTTAAACACTTAAATTCTCCACTCTCTTTTGAAATATATATATTATTAACTAAACCTTTCGCTTGTGAGTATTCATTACTATAATTCTACACGAAGAAAATAAGAGCTGCATACAACTTCGACTAGTGGTTCAAAAAAGAATTCTGTTCAAACCAAAGCGAAAAGGTCACAAAATAAGCTAAACCTCTAAGCAAAAAAAAGTTACAAATGGATCTATCGCATTCAGCAGTCATCTTTTTGGTGTGTTTTGTTATGTTTATTCGTCAAAATTCCCGTATAAAATCAAACACCTTGTTTTAAAAAAAAATCATAAACCATGAGCACTACAGAAACAATGCTACATTTTAGTTTGTTGAGGTAACACAAGAAGAGTAAGTACTTTTACATACAAATTAATATCAAATTTGCTTTTTGTAACTAATTTTCATTTATCACGGCATACAGAGCACATCACTTCTTTAAAAATTAGTTTCTGAGGCCTACCAGAAAATAATGAATCAATACAAACTCCCCATTGTTATTATTATGATATCTTAGCACGTCAATTTCATTGTTTGTCTTGGTAATTCTAAGAAAAACTTTCGTCTTATAAACTGTCTAAAATGTATAAACCTATCAAAGCATTATTGGTTTTGAAGTAATTTTTTAAGCGTTTAATATTATCTGTAATGACTTGAATGGTGAAAATAAACAACGGTTTCCCAAAAAAAATACATTTTACAACGCTATCATCGTATTACAATATCCTTAGTTATAAATGGCTTCTATAGCCTCAAAATGGAATTCTACAGCCTCGACCTGGGCTATATGAACCGACTAGTGAATTTAATTGAGGTAATGATTCCGTAAATCGTGGGATCCACGATTTTTTTTTTTGAGGTTTTGTGGTGGGGGTACTTCATTGCGACGATAATATTGTAGCGAGATCCGGGGTTTCGTAAGGGTGCCCTCCGTACAGTTTATGTATATCCCATAATAATTATTCTAATGATGCAATGTCAGTAGTGTAGTAGCATGGCATTTGGTTATGTTGAAGTATGCATGTTTAGCTAGCGCACTCTGTGTGTCGCGCAAGTAGTATTGGCGGATCGGTCGCGTTCGTTCCTTGGCCGTCTGCCGATAAGATTTTTTCCAGGTTTTTCCAGCCAATTTCCTAAAATGTTCATTCACTTCTGAAAATCGGTCATTCGTTTTCGTCTGAATTTGAATACACGTCTTTAATCCCATTTCAATTCAACGAAAGTCCAATCGTATTCATTACTCGTGCATTCGGTTTTGAGAAACAGATGTGCATTCATTTACGCAAGCATATTTCGCGCAGAGTTCTGGCATAAAATTTCGTGAATGTGCATTCAAAAGTACGTTTTCTCATTCAAAATAGCAGATTGCATCATATAGCATTAAACCAAGAGTGAAATAGAATGACCAATGTTTGAAATCGCCCTCTAAAAGCGAAAAGGAAGTCTTATAAACGAATCTGAATGAGCATAAACGAAAGGTGATGCTCAATCACTTAATTGATTGAACTGAAACGGAATCAAATGCTCTGGTAGCGAAAATGAAACGCGTGTTCAGAGCGATTCTCAAATTCAGACGAAAATGATTGACCGATTTTCAGAAGTGAATGAGCATTTTAGGAAATTGGCCGGAAACCTATATCATGTTGCGTCCTCTATCAAGAACTTTGTAACAGGTGTTCATCCATGTCAAACCTTTCCTAAGTAGGTGAGCACCCGTCAGACACCATCGTCCAATTGCTGGGGTTCAACGCCAGTATTTGAGAGTGAGAGCCAATGATCAAGCCATTGATGATTAAAATACGAGTTGTGCGTATTTAATCACTATTCCCTGTGTCGAGAATCAATTTTAACTCCATTCAATTCAATTCAAAAAGACACGGAACAAACCAACTGCAGGTTCTACCCGCCTTCCTTGATGATCAAGTGGAGGAGTGCGTCCTATAAACGGACCTGCCCAAAGTCTACTTTTATAGCCGCTCGTATACGCGACAGAGGATTTGCCGGGAGCCGTAGAGTACACCGCCACAACAGGAAACAAAAACGAACTATTATTCGATGCTTTCCTGTTTCCAGATAATACAGTCTTCTTCTTTTTTCATTTATTGTGTCTTCATAACTAGGTAAATTAGACCACCGATTGCAAGAACAGCAATCAAACCAACGACAACAATCGCTGCTGTGATGCCTGCAGCTAGCCTTTCCTCCTCTCTTTCTTCCATACCATCACAAACAGGGAGATCAGACGACCACTGGCCAGCTTCAAGACATGTCAATCTGGAAGACCCTTTCAAGATGAAGCCATCTTCACAAGCCACATCAACAGTGGCGTTCACGAGATACACGGACCCATACAGCAACCCGTTCTCCACATCACCCGGGTAGCCACAACTGACAATCTTGACCAATCCTTTCTGGACTTCAGTTATTGTACTTTCCACCACAAGAGTCTCGTTAGCAAAAGACAGGCTGCCGGTGATTACCGCATCAAAGACACACTCAATGGAATCGCCACACAGGTCCTTGGTTTCCTGACTAACTTCGTTCAGATTAGGAACCTTGAAGGTCGGGAAAAACTCAGGGAAGTGATATGTGCTGTAGTCAAATGGGGAAATGTACGTAAATTTAGAGTCCTCTTGTGCTACCAACCACTCCAAACCAAACTTATGAAGTTCCTTCAGCGAAGAAGCGGACTCCAGGATGGTTCCATTTGGGAACTGAAGGTCGTCATCTGGGTTTCCGTTTAGGTTTCCAAGAAGCCCTTTAACTTGACCCTGGAAATTGGTGTCCAGTTGAGCGATGAAAGACATCACCTCAGCGTCGATGTACACGGTAACAGCGATGCCAGCATTAAATGCTATCTTGATTTTGGTCAAATCAGAATTGAAGCGGATTTGAACACCTCTGAGGTAATGAACTTTCACTGGTCTGGGGTCAAGACGCCACGGCTCACCGTCTACAAGAATCAGTGTCTCGTTCATGTTAGACAGCTGCACCTGGACTTTTGAAGAATCGTTCACTTGGAGAACGAACGCCGTGTAGACAGAGGCGTTAGTGTTGCGGTACCTCTCCATACGGGCTTGAAAGGTTAAGTTATGTTCTTCAGATGACGCCATCAGAAATTCTCCAGCACCGTTAAAGGTGAACTTGTAGCCATCCAGACTTGTCAGATGGGGATCCCCAATGCCCCCAGCCGGTCGAGGTGGTTCGTACTTAGAACAATCATCAGATGGTCTGTACTTGTAGTACTCCGTACAATTGTCTGACAGTTTGCACAAGCAAATCCACGGAAAAACGTCGTACCATTGATGCTTCCAGAAATGCTCTCCTGGACTGTACCTGTCGGCTGTTCCTCCCCCAGGGGGACCTACCAGGATATTACCGTCTTTCCCGTAACAGCACTGTTGGCCTGTTCCCGTTTGCATTGAATGAACAGACCGATAACACACATCATCATCCTTCTGAAAGTTAAAATCAACCTCAGCCTGTTCTTTGATGCAGGGACACGGAGGGAGTCCTGTGGGCACAGTACTTCTCAACGGGTACTTGGAAACTCCACAGGTCATTGAAGTCACTGTTATCACGGCAGGACTGTACAATCTTAGGCGCAACGCTGCATTTCCCTCTGGAGAAGGAGTAAGATAAAATGTTGAGAACGACAAACCATGTTCGTATAGGGATTGGAGGTCGATTGGATGTATCGTCAGACTTCCACTGTTCAAGACGCTGTTTTTCACTGAAACCGCTTCCATCAGGACAGGATCATTGCTGGCGTAATCTGTTTCTTGCATCATAACAGTCACATGTGAAACGTCTTCACCAAGAATTGTAGGATCCCAGGATAACATGATCGGATCATCTGAGGTTAGGTCAATGATGCCATCTCCAAATGAAGAATTCTCCTGTTGGATTTGTACAAGAGGTGGCAGGTCCTCTTCAGATGCAATATAGATAAAGTATGGAAATGATTTACCGTCACCAAGTGATACATAAACGGATGTTAGTCCGTTCATGTAAAAGGTGGGAGTGATACAGACAACAGTGTAAGGGTCAGTGCGGTCAGCTGAAACCAGGACATCTACTAATCCTGTGGAAAACTTGCACTTTGCATATTCAGTGACTGGGACTTTAGTTTTCAAACAGGGAACGGTTATAGTGAGAGGCTCACCACCAAGTTCTCGCAAATAGTACGGCGTCAAACTTAGCAATCGTTCATTGCTGAAAAGAGACAGACCAGCGGCGTAGCCATAGGATTCGGCCCTTTCATACCCGTAGACAATGACGGAGAGGGGTGATGAATAAGAATCTGTTTGTTCCACGTAGTAGACACCTTCACCTTTTGGAAGTTGAACCGTAAGTGAAATGTAACTAGTGTGAGGAACATCGCTCTCGTGTACAGTTGAGCCTTTGATAGGAGAACCGTTGAGAAAAACGGTTTCCATGGAATCATTCTTCACAATAACATTGATGTAATTGAAATAACCATCTGCATCTTCTCCAGATTGAGGAGGTGTCGTAAAGCCGAACGCGTACCCGAAGTGTTCTTCTGCAGGAACCTGAATGATGGAGGGGTCGACTGTGATACCATTGATGGACGCCAAATGCTGCATCATCAGAGCGGGTTTGCTTGACGTAACGAGGCCGGAACCCAAAAGACGTCCTTCCCAAAATTCACCCGGTTCCAACGACTGGTGTTCAAAACCGGGGATTGTGAGATTGGTTTCGCTGAAATAAGCAACAATTCGGTAGATGTTGTCATCGTCACTGCGGGCCGCGGTGTAGATGTGTTTCTGTTCCCAACTCTTAACTGGTACCAACTGCTCAGTCACCGTGTCACAAGCTGAACCAGCGTGGGTTGTGCATTCATTGCCACTGAACACAGCAACTGGTTTGTCACTATAGATGGTACTTCCTGTTAGGTCCTCCAAATCATGACCTTGGATTTGAACGGCTTCCAATTCATTGAGAACGAACCTCAGCACATCATCTGCATTATATGTTTGTCCTTCGAATGTTACCGAACCCCGTAAAGTTACCTGAACTGAGGTGGAGTCTCCTGTAGCAATGACAGCGAACTGAGTATGCCCTCGCGATATTGGATGTAACGTCATCACCACATACTGCGTGCCGAGATTGTTTGTAGGTATACCAAGAAAACCGTCGGACGAATAATCGTGGTAAATCAGACCGTACGCAGACACCTCACTAGAAGCTTTAATTTCGATTCCTTTCCAGCTCCTTTCACTGCCATTCATATTCAGTTCAACCGGAACATTGGTTCGTCGAAATCCACCTGCTTCTATTACAAAGCTCTCCTGGAACCTCCTCCCATCCAACTGAAACTTGCTGCTAATAGTAACGGAGGTTTGCTGGTTACTAAAAGCAACCACCATTATGTAAAGTCTCGTATTAAATGAGTATTCATATACGCTATCTGTGAAGCCAATTACAAAGCGTTTACCTCTTGATCTCCCCAAGCATTTCGGCTGGTTCATGTTTGGTGATTGCAGATCAAGAGCTGACACTGGAATTTCTGGAAAAGTATGGGCCATGCAGATGACCAGCCAGAAAAGGTGTGATTTCATCGGGCCAATCATACTACAAAATAGAAAAAATGGACATAACAATTCAAGTACTTAACTCATCTATCAACTTTCTTCATTGCCAAAATGAACTGCGAATTGCTGAAATTTACATGTGTCACTGCATTTGACGGACCGATCAATCGACTGACTGAGCAACGAACGACCAACCGAGTGACCGAGCCGACGATTGACTGAACGACCGACCGACAGAATGGCAAGGAAAGCCTTCATTTACATCAAAACGAATTAACCTTAGGCCAAATACCCTTATGCCAAAAATGAACAATGTTATACTTGAACACAAACACAAGATCACAAAGTTCTCTCGTGTATCGCCGACTATGAAAACTAAAGCTTTGCCATTTCCGCGATGGTCATCGCGGAAATGTGACTTCTTTCTCACCTGGACAACAATGTGTTTAGCCGCAAATATTCCGTCCAGAGAAACCACGGTGCGGTCCAGCGCTCCAGAAATCTAGACGAGTTTAAAGGCACATAATAGGATCATTTACATAGATCCCAAAAATAAACTTCAGATTTTTCAATCAAAACTCTTACTTAATCGTACTGGTACTCAACACCCCAAGACATTATTTCGTCTGGCTTGCTGTCATTTTGAAGAAATCTAGAACTGTTCAGTCACTCCCAAACGGTCTGTCCATTGACCGATTTTTGATTCTTGATATAAAAATTTTGCATCTGATTTGTGCTTCTTGGTGTAAAGGCTGTGCATGGTTTTCACAGTTTTCTCGAGAAAAAAAAAAAATCGGTGTTATTCACTGACTTGCAACTTCAACATGGTAGATTTTGAATATTCTTCTCTCAATCTTGAGCAGTGTTATGACTGGAAACGCACAAAAGCAAATGAACTAACCTTTATGAAAGGGCGTCTTTAAAAAAATAATACTAACCTTCTGGTTACTCTTCTGTTTAGTTACTCATGATAAAAAAACAGCCAACATAATCCAAAATGTGCTTTCTCTTCATAAGACCAGTGCTGCAGCTCCCGTTTTAGATGCAGTCAATTGAATGACGTCTCGTGTATCAACAACATTCGGTAGGAATGTTTGCCGAAGATGCCACCTGTAGTGCAGTACTGGATAAGCACATTATAGGGTCATGCACGTTGAGGGATTCGATTTCATGTCATTCCTTGGAATGCCAACCTTTACGTTGACATTTGTACATGATGACATGCTTCGCGTGCATTCTCAAGGGTTTACACTTACAAACGTACATGTTCAAAATATCTTCGTTCACGTTCTTACATTTTCTTTTACTTCTTTGTGTGCTCATGTTGTCGAGAGAATATAAAGACGAGTATTCCTTTTATTTAATTTCGTAAAGCACAAACAAGAACATAAGGATATCAAAGTAGTCCTAACATTTTGCTTCATCATTTTCCTTTGAATAAAATTAATTAAGGCCTACACCTTTAAAAAGAACGCGTCTACAAAGATTCGTTTGCAAAAGAAAACTAACTCTGGACTGGCAGAACTTTTAGGCAGTTCCTTTTCCGGAGGGACCTGTATTCTGTTTTCAAAATCATTATCATGTTTCATTGCTATTCACTGAGAAACGAAGTGCAAAGTGGAGACATTAACATAAATGCGTGTGTCTCTGCAATGCATTCGACCTCACAACCGACCAAACGATCCACGGAGCTGTGGCTGACCAACCTACTGACCAACTGACCGACCGAAGGCTCTGGAAGTTTAGGTCTGGGCCGGGTAAGCCTGGTCAGTGTAACAGGGACATAGCGGAAGTTCTGTGGCCAAAGTATTTTTCAACTGGTACTTTGAAACCTCACGGGTGATTTCAGTCAATAGTAATAAGAATCAGCAGGAATGATGTAAATTCAATATTAGGTTTTGCTATTCACCGACGTATAAGCACTGTGTACTCAGTTTGTTAACCCCGATTGAAAGTGACCCAAAAAAAATCACTCAATATTTCTTGTTCCGTTGTATAAGAAAGCGCTTCGGCGCGAAGTACGCACGACTACCATTCATTTGAATGATGCAAATAGATCGTAATGAGATTAATTAATTTAGTTTCATCGGCCCATTGGGGCAACCATAAAAAATCGTGCTGCAAATCTCACTTCCACTTGTCTTCGGGTATTATTACAACAAACTCAAATGTAGTATTGTATATAAAGTGCTCATGGTTTATGATATTTTAAACAAGGTGTTTGATTTTATACGGGAATTTCGACGAATCAACATAATAAAACACACCAAAAAGATGACTGCTGAATGCTATTGATCCATTTGTAAAGTTTTTATTTTTCCTTAGACGTTTGTTTAGAGTCATGATATTTTCTTTTTGAAGTTTATGAAGGCAAAAGGGTTTCTTCATTGCTTTCTTGGTTTTACAGATAACGTTTTTGACATGTTCGCTTTGGGTTGAACTGATTTTTTTCTTTTTTGAACCACTAGTCGATGTTGTATGCAGCTGTTATTTTCTTCTTCTAGAATGATAGTAATGAATACTCACAAGCGAAAGGTTCAGCTAATAATATATATATTTCAATAGAGAGTGGAGAATTTAAGTGATTGAGATTGGTGGTTTTTTTGCAATTCACACGTTGATATGAATAACCGCAAATTTAACATAAACAAAATCACAAATCCTGTATTTAAAACCCTTTTTCTCAACGATTTCAAACAAACAGTTCAAATTAATAAAACGAAAACATATTTCCGCTTGAGTATTACAGCGCATTAGAATTAAGGGCTTCTAGCATGGGTGTACTCATATATGCTTGTATTTTCCTTGTGTTAGTACCCATGAAATGGCGGCGTTTCAGCGCTCCTCAATCGCTGAAATGGCTTGTAGAGCGTGTTAGTCTCGCCAGGCCTTGTTCACTTTTAGTCTTTGAACGCCTTGGTACTAAACACTGACTCGTCTAGTCACAAACTCGCACATTTGAATTTGAACAATTGTTATCTGTGTGATATACGTGATTGATTACAGGGAAGTTGAGGTCAACAATTTACATACATTTGTTTAATAGTCATTAATTCGCAAATATTTTCAATAAATTGTAATGCTTTATACTCCTTCGAAATGGCCATATTTTCTCCTTGATTAACTGGACCCAATCAGGACACAATAATAAATGCAAAAAATCGGACGTTTAATACAGATGTTGTAGATCCTAAACGTTGTGCCCGGGCGTGCTGTATTCTCGTAAAATCTCATAGGTTTTGAGGCCAATTACGCTCTATTGTTGAATTACTTTGGTGACTCGAATACAGCATTGCAGGTAAGCTTGAGATGTCCTTTAAAGCGTGAAGCTGACTATCGACCATATATCGGTTTGCCTTATGCCGCTTGCAAAACGCACGGAGGGCTATACGTGAGGAAGTATAATGTGCACTATACTCTTATTTTATAAAACAAACGTTGTTGAACATGTGGTCCAATGAATCCGTGCCGTACACTTCATGTTATGCCATAAAAACCCATTTGAGCATCATGATAATTACATTTGTAGAAACACCACTGGTTTCATGTGTTTGGGCAATACGTGTGGTTGTGCTTGGTGAATTCCAAAGGCATGGACTGTGCATATTAATAATAGAAAGTAAGCAGACCAATACACGACGTCTTCCTTTTTGCGAGTCACAAAGCGATTTGAGACTATTTGTACTGCCCGAGTAATTGTCAGAGGAAATTCGGAGAAAGTTTGTCCTAAAGTACAACAAAAATGTTAACGTTTTAACAAGATAGCTACACGCCTAGAGGTATGAATCGTGATTCACTACCATATGGTTAAGTTTCAGATTTGAAATTCGGGAAATAATTTTTTTCAGGAAAGTTAACACGCATTGGTTTGTGTCTCACAATCGGGAAGAAGTCCAGCATTTAAGGGCAAGATTGATCCCACCTGTTACGGCCGTATTTGTACCAAACTTCTTCTGAAAACTGAGCAGATAGATGTGGTAGTTGAGAGCTGGTCCTAAAGCGAGTGCAAACTGCAGGGAGGTGAGCACGACGACTATCCAGCCCCACCAATCACGCAGACATCTCGAACTTAAAATAAGAACTTAATTGTCAATTACCGGTCTATTGACGAAATTCATCTTAAATGTGTTTAAGGTAGCGGATAAGCATAGCTTTAACACCAGTGGCGGCGATAGGGGGCCATGGAGGCATCCCCCCCCCCCTTCCAAGTTCTTTCCTTTCCCCCACCCAAGTTTGCCCCCCCCCCCTAGTTTTCCCCTAACACTAATATCTACAAGTAGATTAATAATGTTTATTTTCTTCGCTGTTAAGATTCATAAAATTTGGGGGCAATGAAAGCATTAAAACATTGATACTTAAGACAAAACACGCCACACATGCATTTCTACAGCCGTAGATAGTGTGCAGCCAACGTCTTTATACATTTGTTATACATTTTGTTAGTGTTACACCATACTGCGGTTTCTTATGTTTCTCATTCATAAAAACGACTAGACCTCTAGGTTGCTCTAGCGGCTTATTTCCGGACTATTGACAATGGTAATCACGCAAACATCTCGGCAACTTCCACTATTATCCAACCAAAACCCTCGACCATATGTGAACAACAATTTGTGCAATAAACCACGGACCCTCTGAGAAGCGCTACAGCGTGGGGCCCCTACCTTGTGTACACAGCACACACATTCCTTGCGTAACAGGTCAAATGAACTGGACCATTTTACACAATGGGGGGGGTTGGATTCTAGCTGCTGTGCACAGTATGGAAAATACATGTACCAGTACACAATACAAGATTTTGGGGTTAAAAACTGTTCAGCTAAATGAAGTTTTATTGTACAAGTACTCATGTTTTCCTCAGCACATTAACAATGGTATAAATACAAGATTTGATAAGCAAAATGTTATATGCATATAGACTGTACTATAAGGGCGAGATAACACAACCATGCTCAAACACACCCCTCCAGGGATTGATGCTGTGCTCCAACAAGCATCAACTGCAAACGAGACTTGTTTTGCCGATATCCAGATAATGTTATGAAAATAACAGGGTTGATTCTGGGCTCGTTGAAAAAAACACAAGGAGCGTCGAGAACCGAGAGTAGGCAACCATAAAAACAGCGTGCTGCAAATGTCACTTCCAATCAGTGCTTGGGTCTTATCCTAATACAAACAACTAAACTAAGTGATCTCTTGCATTATCGCGAGACCATGTAATAATGCATGATGTGAGACATAAAACTTTAATTGTCAAGGAGTTCATTGTCCAGTCCTCATTAATACGGCTCTCTATGCAAGGGACCTTTACACCCGAGAAAATTGAGCTAGAATAAACAAATCCCTCATATTTTATGTATCACCTGATTACTTTGTTAACCACGATACCAAAGCCAAACATCGGTAGACTAGGATTGGAACGAGACTTGATTTTGATTGTATTTAATGCCAGCGTAACAAACTTTTAAAATTTGTTGAACAAACCTGAAAATGAAATTTTCAAATCTCATATCATCTAGGTGTTTTAGGGTGATTTTTCTGAATCATTAATTAGAACCATTGTCAATTGACTCTGTAACAGACATTACACTTCCTTCCATAACGCAGGAATTGCCCAAATATAGTCAGTCCCTGATGACAAGAGCCGTAATGTAAGGTCGCTGCGGCATTAAAGATCGTTGTTTCAACAAGATGAATCAAATCCAGCCTTGGGAATTTCGGCAGCTCTAACCAGAAAATTCCGAGCTGACGTCACGCGCGCTGTATTCAAGCTAATGCACCCGCGCGCGTGAGATATGCCAGGAGTTTCATGGGTGGCACTGCCGAAGTTCCCATGAGTGGATTGATTACATTGTAGATGGCTATCTTTACCGTCGAGGCGGTTTTACCGCACTGGTCTGTGAGCGGCTGGATTAGGGAAATCAGTCTTGAAAAAAGACTATCGTTTAGCCTGTTTCCTAATTCGCGAAGTACAAGCGTTGTATGGGTACGGGACTATAACGATTTACGAATTCGGTGAATAGACAGATGGATGACATGGTGAATTGTCCTGAGGCTGTTTTGGACGGAAAGGATTCAAAAGCCTGTAGTGCGACTTCGATTACTGACTCATTAATGTATCAGTCTGGTAGCGGCGGCGTACGGGTCGGTTCGGAAGACTAGACTTGTATGAAAAAAGCACCTGCTGATCGATTTTTTTTTATATATGTAACACTTCTTCATGAAGTTGCCGAGATGTTTGCGTGATTGGTGGGGCTGGACAGTCGTCGTGCTCGCCTCCCTGCAGCTTGCGCTGGCTTTAGGACCAGCATTTAACTACCACATCTACCTGCTCAGTTTTCAGAAGGAGTTCGGAACAAATACGGCAATTACAGGTGGGATCAATCGTGTGCTCTAAATACTGGACTTCTTGTATGTGTATGTGAGACACACGGCGATCGTGTAGTGTAGGGCCCCTGTTTTGTTTTGAACAAGTTAGAGTCAAAAATGTTTTTTATTGCTCAAAAATCACCTTTACAATCAAATGCAGACTTTTTTCAATTCCACTGACACCCATTTTGCAATTTTGAACGGTTTCTTGGGGTAGAAATCATGATTATTCTGCGCGGTTTGTGCCTTGCGGTTCATCGCGCCGTGCGTGCTCACGGTACATCGCGCGCCGGTGATCACCATCTTTCATGACATGTCTATGATATTCCGCCATAGCCCATGGTGGAAGCTTTAATTGACCCGAAACCCCGAAAGCAATAACATTGTCAATCAGCATGACAATGGTCAGGCAAAGTTGTTTTTGCTTGCCAGAATTTTTTTCATCCGATCCTTCAATAGGGGCAAATGTTCATACCTTTTACTCATAGTTTTTTCTTTTCATTGAACAGTTTCACTGACGTTGCTAGCATTCTGTACTCAACATTAACAAATAGCAAGGTGAACACACATCCCCAACCTAATAGGGGTGGGACGGGTTTTCATTGAAACTAGTCAATCCCGTGCCTTATGCCAATTCCAGTGTAGTTTCGTTTTAATAAAAAAAAACTATCCATGGTGTACCCTCTGCAAGTTTCTCCTTATAAAAACTCAGTAGACCGATAAATTCTTGCCTAGCCCATTGGTCTTTTATAGGTCTTTTATATTTACCATTCCCTGTAACAAACAAATAACACTGCAAATATATCGAGAGCTACATCGTTTGGTGAGTTAGAACTATGTGAATATTTTTTATGAACAGAAATTCATCCGCTTCCAGTGGAACCATTTGTTTTGACTTGAACCAAAAAAACATCCTTTCGGGTTTTATAAGTTTCAGTATACTTCAGTATATTTCATCACAATACATCCAGAATCCAACATTTTCCGGGGCCTTAAAGCGGGCCCCTGGCCATGTGGCCCCACGCCGTAAGGGCTCGGAAAATAAAACAAAACATACAAATGTAAGAAAGCAGCCTTGCAACAATAATATTTACATGCAATGTCATGCATCTTTTTCCAGAATTAAATGGAACCAAAAATGGAGATAAAGATACAGGGTTCTTCTTTTTTTCAGTACAGTTAAACGTTTTAAGAGCAACAGTATATTCTAAACAAAATAATGAAATAAATTGTCTTTATAATCTCAAAAAAACTTTTGCTAAAAAAGTCAAATGAAAGTGGCCAGGAATCGCCTCAGATTGCACCGTACCACAGAGCATCCATATTCCAAATTAAGCCACGCCGTAGAGGGCTTTGCACTCCGCTTTCGCATTGATTTTGTCCTTCCTTTAGAAATTCCAGCACTCCCTGGAAAAAAGTTTGTTCCCTCAAAACATCAAAACCCTGCCCTCTATCTATGACATACCTGTTTATGGAGAATGTCGCCAACTAGTTTGGTCGGTCTAACAATTTTAAAGTGGAATTTGTTCCCTTATAGGAACCGGGCCCTACACTACACGATCGCCAGACACACCAAGTGCGTGTTAATTTTCTAAAGCTTATATTTCCCGGACTTCAAATCTAGACGTTTTCCCATATTTACTGTGGAAATCACCAATGGGTAGGACATCGCAATCCCTACCGTGGACGTCTAGCTATCTTGTTAAAATGTTAAAAAAAAAGCCATCGCTTTGTGACAAAAAGGAAGAAGCCATGTATTGGCCTATAGTAAATGTACACTCCATACCTTTGGAATTTAACATTAACAAGAAGACATATTGTCACAATACACACAAAACAATTGCTGTTTTTACTACCAGAATAACTGTTCATGGTGGAACGTGTACGGCACAGACTCGTTGGACTATGTACATTGTACATCAGTACTTGTGCGACATGGTACATGTATTGTTATACGGCGACCCAAGGAGGCCGATTGTTAGTTGGGAGGATTTATCAAAAAATACATGGATGTTGATCACAAAATAACACACCAAGGGGCACGTTATAAAAGAATATCAGAAAAATAGAAACCGGGGGAGATCATGCCAATATGAATAATATAGGTTTTGTTTAAATGGCTAGTTGCTAACAGAGCTAAGAATTCGGATTGGGGACCACTACGATGGGACACCGTAGTCTGCTAGTAGGCAAGGTAAAAATTACTCTGGGTGCAAGGGTAAAGAAAATTGGACGATGCTCACAAGACTATGCAGACCACTGGACCCTTTGGTGTGAAGTAATGGTGGTGGTGATGGTGCAAAGTTAGAGCCTTTCACAAGGCCAAACTAAACTAGGCTCCCTCCTTCAGCCATACACATGCGTAGAAAATAAGGAACCGAAATGCATTATTTTGCAAGCGCCATAAGGCAAAACGATTGTTGACTGAGTCAGCATTATATAACGTTATGTCTAAAACAAGATAAGTTTGCGTTAGCACCATGTGAATAAATCTCTTTTGTGAGTATGTGTGGTTCTGAAAAGAACCGGATTCCAACGATGATGCGATGTTATAAGGATGGGTGCGGTGAGGCGTGAGAAGGATGCAAACTGGTGAAACTCGAAACCGGTGAAGCTGAGAAGCCGAGAAGGATGCAAGTTGACTGAAGAATGATGGATGATCACTGGAGCGTGTCAGTACACAGTGAGGGGGCAAAGGGGAAGGAGCTCAGGGTATAGGTGACCCATAGCTGAAAACTGAACCTAAGTTGTCCTAGGGTATAGGAGACCCATCGGACTTGGACTTGAGGATGGGGCGCAAGATGTCGCTGATGTAGAAACCGATGTTTTGGGGAAGAGTGTTATGCTTGATGATCTCGATGGCTTCTCTGATGCGTCGGGGGTACCAGCGGTCGATTCCAGTGAGTAGTTCTGCTTGGCTCCAGTTGATCGGGTGGTCCTCGGTGTAAGAGTGTTTGACGATGGAAGATTTCTCGAAGTCTCCCTTCCTGCCATGGGCTTTGTGTTCATTGAGTCTGGTGGGGAGGTCCCTGCCAGTCTTGCCGATATACACTTTGCCACATTGACATGGAATCTTGTACACCCCTGGTCTGCATTCTGGGTCACACCGATCCTTGTGTGACGTCAGCATGCAGCGCATACTGTTCGAAACGTTGAGTCCCTTCGGTTCTTTTCAGAACCACACATACCCACAAAAGAGATTTATTCACATGGTGCTACCGCAAACTTATCTTGTCTTAGTATCTTTCCACCATGCAAACCTTCAAATCTCATCTAACGTTATGTCTAGCATATTTTGCATTAGATGCAGCACGAATCATAGCCCTAAATGCAAGGCTGTGTGTCCTGTACCAGAGTGCAGACAAGCTGGTACAGGACTAGCCCGACTGCGTCTGGCCGTACAGTACTATCGCAAGCTCTGTAGTACGGCCAGACGCCCAATGCTTCCAAAAAGACTGAATTTTTTTGGCCGCTGATGTAGCGATTTTGCTACAGATTTCGATCGTGATTATCTTTTCATCCAGGACCAAAATGTCCAAAGTTAAGGTTCTTAGTCGTAGAGCAACTCATGCCTTTTCGAAAAAAACGTTCTTTGGTCTCAATATTTTCATCCATCTGGCCAAAAGACGACTTTCAGTCATCATCTTCCACAAATATCGTCCCGAAAATGCTCCCCCATGCGATTTCAAAATGGCGGCCGCGCTGTAATGTATGCATTATGCGAGCGCGCTTGGGCAAGATAATGAATATGCATCATAGTTTATGACGTTTGTCGGACACTCGGCGCGGCTGGCAATACAAACACGAGGTCATGATCTAAATAATGCATATGCACCGCACTGACTGTCTCGCTTACTCAGGAAAGGAGTCTTCAAAATAATGTGTAAGTATATTGGTGAAAATAAGTGATTTGGGATAATTTTGTCAAGTCCCGAGTCACGCAGGTTGAGTCTGGGTCCAAGTCCGAGTACGCAGGGTCGAGTCCAAGTCCGAGTCATTTGTCATCGTGACTCAAGTCCCGTGCAGTCCTGGTCGAGGAAAATGGAACTCGAGTCACAAATGATATAACTCTGCAAATTTGCAACTGTTCCTGGTTGGATCTTCAGAGATATTCTGCACCAATGTAACAACGTTTCAGCAGCATAACTAAGGGGGCATGGTGGCAGGCGCTCTTCGTCCCCCCCCCCCGGCATGTGTCCCTAAAAGGCATTGAGTGGCCCTCCAGGAAATTCGGCCGAGTAACTTCCCCCCTGCAAATTGGATCCCCTTTACGCCTCTATCACTTCTGCACATGGTTGGGGTGGGGCGGAAAGTGAATTTCAATAAAAGTCAGGGGAATAATAGTCCTTGGTGAGTAAATAACAGAAATGTAGTATGTCACGAGCCAATATGGCCCATCAGGCAGGGGGGTTATCGACGGTAATGACATGATGGGGGTGCCAATCCATCGCAGGTTATTCCTCAGGTAATGCCGTTACCCATTTACACTCTTGGGTGGAGATAAAAGGTACACAACATATGGCCAACAGCTGGATTCGAACCCCTAACCATCTGATCATGAGACACGAGCCCTATTAAGGCTACACTCCTACAGACTGAGTGGTCCTGGCAAGAGTTGAACCGGACTCATTAAATATGCAAGGTGAGAAACCACTAAAATACTCCTTAAACTGGTATGAATTGTCAACATATATAATATCCCTTCCAAACAGGATGGGTGGGTTGCGTGGCTCACTCCCTTATGTGCCTCGGAAGCATACCAGCAGACGCCCTCATTCGGCGGTTGAGCCCACGGACGGTCATTCTGGTGGGAGTGTTGCTGAACTGCGGGGGGTTCTTCGCTACCGCCTTCGTGCCGTCACTGGGATACGCGTTCCTGACGTACGGGGTGGCCGTGGGGCTTGGCACCAGCTTCATTCTTCAAGCCGGGTTCACACTGATTCTGCTATGGTTCCCGACACGGTACTGCGCACGGGCATCCTCCATCATCGTGATTGGTACACCGTGTGGTAGGTCGTGAATCTACTATTGTTATTAAAATGCTATAATTTACAGAATGCATAGTAATTTACAATAACTTATAGTGTTTTATAGTAATTCTGTCTGTCACATGAATTTGTGCAGAAATATACCATGATATTGCTAATATAGAAAAGCAAGCTGTACAAACATACCAAAGAGTTATAGGAGAAAATGCCATAAATGAAGAGCTATACGAAAAGCTTGTCATAAAATGAAGAGTTGTACAAAGCCATACAATAGATTAAGAGATGTTCAAAAACCAAACCATAAAGTAAAGAGCTGTGCAAAGCATTCATGAAATGAAGAGCCATACAAAAAAACTTTACCATAGAACAAAGAGGTATACCAAACACCATACCATATCCCAACCTCGTTCCCGTGTTTTACAACACTCACTAGCTGCTCTTTTTTATTGTCTCGTGGTTGAATGAAGTATATGGAAGGAGGCTAAATGTTGCCATCTCTTATCATAGGTACGTTAATCTCCGGACCAGTACTCAACACGTTGATATCGGCATACGGCTGGCGTCACGCCTTCATGATGGCATCTAGTGTCATCTTCATCATCAGTTTCTTAGCCGGACTCTTCATGACTACTCCCCCGCCTGTGCCAGACTTGAAACTCCGGGAGGCCGATATGGGTTCACCAGAAACGGAGCTGCAACCTATTGGGTTGCACCCGGACGACAAACTCCAAGAGATCGGTGAGATGAAGGATGGCTCGCCATCACCAACCCCGGCTTCGGTCCCATTCTACCGGCAACTAGCACCCTGGCTCATGGCCATAGGAGTCGCTGTCGGAACTGCGGCGTGGACTTTCCACGCCATAAATCTGGTAAGTTACTCTCTGGAACTTAATAAAGCAGCATCGACATAGGAATACACTGTCATACCAACTACACTCTAAAACGTCTTAGCTCGGATTTGACACGGAATCAGGGTCAGATTTGGCCTGATAGTTTTCAGGGTAAATATGACACTGTGCACTTTACAAAGACACTACTTATGACAAGAGGATTCCTGGTCACAATTGGCCCAGAACATTATCCAGAGAAGTGTCATTCTGACTCTGACCACAAGTCATTTTGACCCGGAAATGTCGTCACCGTTTTCACGAAGGGGCGAATTTCATGAAAATCGTCTGTTTTTCGAAATTTGTTTTTTGGTGAAAATGAATAAAGATATCAATATCTACAACCTGGTGAGGCTATACTTTCAAAAAGTTAATTAAAATCTTAATTTACCTAATTAACGAATGGGCAAATTTGCCAAAAGTGCCGTTTTGCGTTTTCACAAAGACGCGAATTTCCGCACTCTATGGTATTAATATTTTTTTAGAAAAAAAATACATTGTAATACTGTAGCGAGTATATCACGAAGGGGCGAATTCCATGCGCGTGCAATAAAACGTTTTCACGAAGGGGCGAGTTTCAAGGCGCATGCGCAGTGGGGCAGAATCTGCGCGTACTGTACAAAAATGCATTGACTCAGACCGCAGAAGGGCGAAATCTGCGCGTAGTCTCTTAAGCGTTTTCACCAAGGGGCGAATTTGCTAATTGGTCTTTCTTTCGTTTTCACAGCAGCCACTTCTCTTAATTGATTAATTCTGCAAAACTAATAGCCTATTTTTCTTAAAGTTTGCTACATTTAGGAAGATCAGAAGCTCTTCTTCCTCTGATACCTAAATCTTGCATATTTTATGCATCTTTAAGTTTCAAATGGTCAAATGAAAAAAAGACCAACTTTAAATACGATTATCTCAAATGTTTGTTCAGACAGTGAAATACTAAATTCACCTCTTCGTGAAAACGGTGACGATGTATTACCCGGATTCTACGTCAAAATTGCCATGGGACTCTTAAGAGTGTAACATTAACAGTATACAAATATTAAGTGGCTCGAGCGTGGAATGGGAGGAACATTATCGCAAGGTAAAATCTGGACTTTTCCATTTCACGAGTGAACTGAAAAAGTCCATAATTTACCGAGCTATAATATTCCTCTCATTTCACAATTTAAAGCCACTTTGTTTTATTTAACTGACAATATAGATCCTTGTCATTTGATTATTTGAACTTTTATTTCAATACAAAAGTGATGGAAAATGTATTTCTCCCTCCAAACCACCCCTTCACGAAAATGTTTGAACCCAATGCTTTAGCGCTGGCTCTTTGGGACAATACGCGCAACGCTGAACGCGCACACCAGCATGCATTTGCACACAAATACCGCGTCACGGAACAAGAATAATCCTAACTGTTCAATAGTATACAAATATTGAATTCTTCCAGTGGTGTAGTAAAACTAGCCTCCCGAGGTGATCCATAGATATTTTATTTTCCCAAGGCGAAGCCGAGGGAAAATGGAATGCTCCATGGACCACCGAGGGAGGCTAGTTGTACTTCACCTCGAGATAAGCGTTCAATATTTGTTTTATAACACTTCACCCACAGATTCTGCTTGATTTTAATATTGCTGATTATTTAAATCTGAACACAGTTTAAAAATACTTTTCAGTACGAAATTGGTGGGAAATGTAGTACTCTCTTCCAAACAACCCCTTCACGAAATGTTTGAACCCAACTCTGCGGGGGCTCTCTTTGGAACAATAGGCGCTGCGCGCAACGCTCGACGCGCACACCAGCATGCATTTGCACACAACTGCCGCGCCATGGGTATAATATTTGGTTGCTAATGGTATAGTACTTTGGTTGCTACGGGTATAGTACTTTTGGCCGTGCACATAAAGATAGCTAAAAAAGAAAGTACCATGTGACTCGCTCCCAGCCAATCTGTGGGTGCTGTGTTATGATATTGCCCATTCCCCATGGGCGATTTTATCCAACATTTCTCCCAGTTCTTTAGAATAGTTTGTTATACTTGAATTGTGACTAGTGGTGGGCTTGTGAGGAGATGCGAGGACATGCGAGGATTTCGTGATTGGCTCGACAGCTAAAACACTGTTCTATACCATTCAAAAGCCAGGAAAATAATGTACGTCTCTTGAAGCGAATTAAATGGGATCCCATCATATCAGTTGATAATGTATTCCATGATTGCTATATTTTTGAAGGCGAGTTTCATGGACAGCATCGGTCTAAGTGATGGCGATCTCTCGCTGGCCGTAGTAGTTCTCTCGCTCGGCCAGATCACGGGCAAGATTCTGATTGGGATCTTCGGCGATTCGCTGCCGTTCCTGAGACTGTATCTCGTCGCCGCTTCGTTCATCGTCGGGGCTGTCCTTTCTGGTTTTCTGATACTGACATCGACCTTGCCGCCCATGCTGGCACTGGCGTATTGTAAGTACAGCCAAGGTGACAGCTACAATGGTTTACTGGTGTCGTTTGGACACACTGCAGGTTATATGCACTCTGCTTTTGGTATTCGAAATACACTGCAAAAACTGTAGTGTTAATTTAACACCATTCGGTATCTATATAGGACAACACCAGTAAAATTTAACACCAGATGGTCCTATATAGATACCAATGGTGTAAATTTAACACTCCAGTTTTTGCAGTGTATGTAAGCATAAATCGCCAGAAACCTGTTTACCTCTGTCCAATATCAATTTTTACTCTTACTGGTAAAAAAGAAAAGGCAGTGTACTGGCACTGTTGCCTGGATTCCTGAAAAAACCTATACACCAATCCCGGAAAGCTGGCAATTCTGTCACGAAGGCCCCATCAATGGCGAAAGCTTTGTGCTAGCAATATTGTTTAGATAATCGTAACGGGGTATTTGCTTTGTACAATAGCGTGCACAATGCTTTCTCCATTGAAGGGGTGGGGGAAGTCATAACTTGTACAGGGATCACGTGCCCGGATTCGTCTGTAAGGAGAGGAAGAAATATTCAGGTTTAAAGTTAGGAAGAACCCGCGGAAACCCACGGAATCAGGTAGGGACTGAAAACCCAATCGACAATGTCGGCCCGAGTAGGAATCGAACCCGGGTCACAAAAGATGGAAGGCAAGGAAAGTACCACAACACAAAACTGACTCCCGAAAGCCAAATAATGAAAAGCAATTTTTAAATAGAGTAGCATTAAACCTATACAACTAATCCTTTACACACACTTTAATGCGATTTAAACAATTTTTTTAACTTTCAGTTTTCGGGATGTCCCGAGCTGGATTTTTTGCCACTTACGTTTCGTCTTCCATGGAGATTTTCAACCACTTCGGGCTCAGTGTTGTCACATTGCTGGTGCAGATACCGTTTGGAATTGGGGTTCTGATAAGTGCTCCACTGGCCGGTAAGATGACAGAAATGTTTTAAGCAAGGAGATTTTCTAAGCACATCTGCTCATCAGTACGGAAAATCTTCCAGCACACCAATTTACTCAGAAATAAAATTTCTCATACAGCACACACATTTGCTGAGCATAGACTTTTGCTCTGCACAAAGATTTGCCAAGCACAGTGTAAAGAAATGTGCCAAGTACAGTATTTGCCACGTACAGAAATTTGCCAACTACACACATATGCCATTTTGCCAAGCACAGAAATTGGCGAAGTACAGAAATTTGACAAGTACAGATATTTGCCAAACAAAGATTTGCTAAGCACAGAAATTTGCCAATTACAAAAATTTGCCCAGAACAGAGATTTGCCAAGTACAGGAATAAGCGCCCTACATATTTGCCAAGAACAGCAATTTGCCCAAACAGACATTTGCTAGCACAGAAATTTGCCATGTACAGAAAGTTGCCAAGTACAGACATTTGCCAACCAAAATAAATGTGCCTAGAACAGAAATTTTCCAAGCACAGATTTGCCAAGCACAGAAATTTGCCAAGTATGGACATTTGACAAGCACGAAAATGTGCCAAGTACGGAAAATTTTCAAGTGATTTGCCAGGCACCGAAATTGCCGACCACAGATATTTGACAACCACAGACATTTACCAACCACAGAATTGTGCCAAGCACAGAAATTTGCCAATCGCTAAAATTTGCCAGGCACAGACATTTGCCAAGCACCGTAATATGCCAAGTACATAAATTTGCCAACCACACAAATTTACAAAGTGCAGAAATTTGCCAACCACAGAAATTTGCCATCAACAGACATGAGTTTTGCTGAGAACAGAAATTTGCCAAGTGATGATTACTTTCTGCCCAACAGCTCAATGAAAATGAGCTCGAAGTATATGTACATTTTGAATATATCTTAAAAGGTGGTCTGGAGCATTGAACTCGTGGTCTGTATAGGTAGTTCGAGTCCATGTTCGGGTGCATGTGCCTTTGGAAAGGCACTTTGTTACTCATTGCACACACAGAAGTAAATGGATACCTGTGAGGGCAGAGATTATTATTGTGATTGCATTTAACTGCTCTGCGCCGAAATGGCAGCATCGAGATATATACTCGTCCAAAGCTGAGATTATCTCTGGAGCAGGAGTAATAATGATGTAGCTCCTCAGCACCAATAATGGTGGATACGTGCGCTTAATTTAAAAAAAACGCATAGTGATTACAGTGTACCAAACTTTATCATGAAGGAACAGAAATTAGAAATATTGAATGTGATTAATCCAACCTGTACGCCTTAATTGCAGATAATAATCTTCACAAGTAAAATTACCAGCACTTTATTATTTTTTTTGATAAATATTCTGTAGGTGGTTTGTACGACTTCACAGGAGACTACACCCTCAGCCTGGTAGCCATAGTGGGTCTTCTCGGGTTAGCAGCTGGTTGCATACTACTCATTGCAATCCAACGGAGAATAAGGTGCAGAACCAACGAAAAAGACATCAATGCCGTCATGAACGAGACTAAATACGCACCAATACAAAGCACAGACAAAGTCGCGGTAGTTTAGGGGTGCTTTATACGTCCTGCCTTGGTCTAAGAGTATCAGTGGGCTCTCACGCATTTTTACATGAGATTCTGGGGTTTAAAGGAAAGAACACTGCCAATATGTTACCTACAATTTTCAAAATAATAGGGAATCCTGTACCCCATTGGCAGATTACATCCCTGCCAGATTTTGCTTTCTCCCTGATTTTCTTGTGGGATGGATTCATGTTAGCTGCGAGGATGGTTTTGAGGACTGGAAGCTTTTAAACATAGGACATTTTCTGAAATTTAAGGGATTACAGATATCTAGGATTTGGAACCTTCCTGCAAACTTCTCACCACTTTCCAAGCACAAGAGAATTCGCCTCAATTTGTCAGAATTTTGTACATAATTATGTGACCTTATGAGGTACCGGGAACAAAGGGCTACAATAGGGACAATGGGACACCAAAAGCCGGTCTTTAGAGATCTCAGTACCCAAAAAATAAAGGCAATTTTAGATTTCAATCGAAACATATAGGAGAGCAGTATGGAAGTAAAGGTCTACAGTAATGGTATCCCAAGCTGTGTTTTGTTAAGGGGAGGAGTTAACCCCTTATACTGTGAGTTGTTTTCCCTCCCTTAACCCTCTGGGGATGTCCATTACCAGACTCTTGTTAGATGAAGATACAAAGAACAATTCAAACCGGTAGGTTTTAGGGAACGCATCCGCATCCGATTATCAGAGTCTGTGAGGTGACGGCTGAAGCCATCCTCGTCTCCATGGCGTCGACCAGTATGCTCCCTCTAGTTGTTCTCTCACCCTGGTTCTCCAGGGGTCTACTATTTTAGCGAGGTTGAAAGTAGACCCTGGGAACGAAGTTCGGGTTGAGCCAGACAAAGAGGGCTTTAGTGGCTGGCTCTTTCGCCATGAAAGACAACTGCAACCGTTGAATCTCCATTGCATCGCATCCAAATATGAATATTCCGCTTATAGGCATACACGTTGTATTTACCCCATTGCGCTCGTAAAGAGATGCCAGAAAGGCAATGTAATACACCACGAAATCAGATATTCTGTTCTTTTTATAATTCCATTGTATTCCTGTATATCCAAGTACATGTATATTTATTTTGATATAATCCTGTCTTGCTCTTCCATAATCTTTCTGCAGGTGCAAAACAATTTCGAAAATCGGTAAAACTAAACAAGTACGTTAAATTATATTTTAATTTAAACAGTTTTGCTGCTTTGTGATTGTAAAATGCTGGTAGGCTTTAGCTTACCAAACTAAGTGTAAACGCAATAAATTCAATTACGTTCAGTTTGCTTTCCCGGTCAACACATATTAACAAATGTAATCAAGTCAGTCAGTAGTAAGGATAGTGGGGGTGCTAGACTTAAATGGAAAATCTGCGGCGAGCCCAGGCTCGCCGCTCTCGTTTCAAAAATCCCCAACGTCAAATTCCCCAGTCCAAAATCCCCCAGTCAAAATTTTTAAAATTTTGAATCAAAATTTTGATCAAAATTTTTAGATAAAAAAATCTCTGATCTAAATTTTGATTTTAAATTTTTAGAAATTTGGATTTAAATTCTTAAAAATCTAATCTAAATTTTTACAAAAATCTGATCCAAATTCTTAGAAATCTGATCTAAAATCTTAGAAAATATTGCTTATAAATCCAAAGTCTGACCTCTAAAAAAAATGACAAAAAAAAAAAATAAATATATTATATTTTATATAATAAAATGGAGACCAACACAATCAGACCAATCGTTAAAGGATATTCTAGATGGAACAAAGCAACACTACGTGATTACGTACAGCGGTATCATATACCATACAATAGAAATGTTTATCTTAGTCGTAAAGTCTACATTGAGGGAATAAAGAACTACGAAGCTCAATTTAAAAACTTGAGGCAAAAGAGACTAGATGAGCTCAAACAGATTGTAGACAAACACAATATAGAATACGTACCGTCGGGTTATAAAGGACGATTTTTGAAAAAAGATTTAATCTCAGCGATTCAAACATACAGACAACCCGAGGATTTTCAAGAGGCTGAGTTTAGAGCGACGAGGAGATTTAGAAACAACTTTAGAAACTGGGAACTGATTCCTAGACTTTATAACCACGATTTAATCAAGTTTTTTGATTCACACAAGGAGCAGGTAGTCAATAAAATCAAGTCAGAATTGAGAGAGCTCAGGGGCTTAAAAGTAGAGCTCACAATCAAAATAAAATACGAAAAAACCAAACCTGATATTATCGAAACGATCGAAGCTATTCATTATAGCAAACCGAAAACCATTTTAAATCAAAGTCAAATAAAACAGGTTTTAAAAGAAGAGATCGATGAGCTATTCAAAAAGGATGAAAGGTATACGAATCAAGGATCTGGCTGGGTTTTAAAGAAGATAATGGCGTTGTATATTAACATCAACAGATATAATCCAGCGAGAGGTAGTTCTTACATAGACCTACCCAAAAAACTTAAAATTAAGAAGGCGATGATAAACATCAAAAACAAAGACGACGAGTGTTTGAGATGGTGTTTGAGAGCTGCTCTTGGGTTGTATACAGACAAAGTGAAGAATAACATAAAAAACGATCCTAAATATAAAATTCATAAAGAAGAACCTGTTGTATACACCAAAGACGACGGACTCAAATTTAAAGGCGTTGACTTTCCGACACCTGTAGACCAGATACCCAAGATAGAAAGACAAAATAATTTATCGATAAACGTATACGGTTATGAGGGTGAGATATATCCATTATATGTATCTAAAAACTACGAAGCAAAAGAGATTGATCTGCTTTTGATTTCTAAAGGTGACAAGCATCACTATTGTTGGGTGAAGTATTTTACGAGGTTGATGTACGACGTTACAAAACATAAATGTAAGAAATACCCCTGTCGAAGATGTCTATGTCATTTTACCAATCAAAACAAATTAGATAGACATATCGCTGATTGTAAGGGTATAGATGCACATCCATCAAAGATTGTATTTCCTCTAGGTAAACCAAAATACATAGACGGGCAACCAAGTGAAGAGAGATCCATCCCGATATTAGAATTTAAAAACTATAGCCACAAACAAAAAGCACCATTTGTCATTTATGCTGACTTTGAATCCATACTGCAAACAACAACAACACCCACACCCCCATCTAAACCTACTCACTCAGACAACGAGGCAAATACAAAAAAGATTAACGTTCATAAAGCAAGCGGTTACTCATTGGTTGTTGTCCAATGCGACGGTAAAAATGTGTATCAAGAGACTTATAGAGGCAAAGACGCTGCATCAAAGTTTGTAAAAACTGTGTTAGAATTACAGTCAGACATCAATGATATATTCAACCTCTGTGAACCCATTGAATTTACTGAGCGAGATAAAGAACAACATGATAAAACAAACACTTGTTATATTTGTGAAAAACCAATTTATCCTAATTACTCAAGCAACTGTCAGTGCCAAAAACCCAGAGAACCCAAGACGATAAAACAAAAGGGGGAGTATCAATACAAAAACAAAAAAGGATTTATCGAGTCTAAATGTCTCGACTGCGAAAAGAGAATCAACAAATTCAGAAAAGTGAGAGATCACTGTCACGTAACTGGTAAATATAGGGGTGCCACACATGCTTATTGTAACCTCAAACTGCAGGTTAAACCCGGTTGTACACCGATACCGGTCTTTTTTCACAATTTACAAAATTACGACGCTCACCTGATCATGCAGGGAATGACAGAATACGATGACGAAACAGAAATACAAGTGATCGCTAAAAATTCAGAAAAGTATATTTCGTTTATGATAGGAAATCTACGATTTTTAGACTCGTTTAGTTTTATGGCATCATCGTTGGATAAGCTAGTGAAAGCTTGCCCAAAAGAGTCGTTTCATCTACTCAAAAAGCATTATCCGAACCCTGACTTATTATTACATAAAGGAATTTATCCCTATGAATATATGAACTCGTTTGATAAGTTTCAAGAGACCAGCCTACCACCCATCGACAAGTTTTACAGCAGACTAAAAGACGAACGTGTGTCGCAACAAGACTACGACAGAGCTCAACGCGTGTGGAACGAGTTTGGTATACAAAATCTAGGAGAATATCACGACTTGTACGTGACTACCGATACCCTCCTCCTTGCAGGCGTATTTGAAAACTTTAGAAGAACGTGCATTACAAACTACGGGCTAGATCCAGCCAATTATTACACCGCACCCGGATTGTCCTGGGATGCTCTATTGAAACACTCGAAAGCTAAACTCGAACTATTGCAAGACGTAGACAAACATTTATTTTTTGAAAAGGCAAAACGAGGAGGTATCTCGAGCGTGGGTGGAATGAGGCATCACAAAGCCAATAACGAGTATCTTGATGACTACGATTCAAACAAGCCCTCGAGTTATATCGCTTATCTGGATGCCAACAATCTGTACGGTTGGGCTATGAGTCAATATCTACCGTACAGCGATTTTAAATGGGTGTCTTCGAAACCGTTTACTGAAGAAAGGATAACCACGCTTAAGAAAACGTCCAACACCGGCTACTTTTTTGAAGTAGACCTCGATTACCCGCACGATCTACACGTCAAGCATAACGATTATCCCCTAGCACCTGAAAATATGGTCGTACCCCAAGCTTGGATGTCTGATTATCAAAACGAGTTACTTCAACACGAACCTAGTAGCAACGTACAAAAATTAACGTGTACGCTTAATTCAAAACAAAAATACGTGTTGCACTACGTTACGTTGCAGTTATACCTCGATCTCGGTTTGAAACTAAAAAAGGTACATCGCGTGTTAAGATTTAAACAAGCGCCTTGGATGAAATCTTACATCGATAAAAACACGCAACTCCGAACAAAAGCAACCTCTGATTTTGAGAAAGACTTTTTTAAACTCATGAATAACAGCGTGTTTGGTAAGACGATGGAAAACGTTAGAAATCGAATAGACGGTTACCTACTGAGAGACAATAACGAGAGCGATCAAAAAAAATATCAAAAAATCATACAAAAACCAAGCTATAAAACAACAACACCGTTTACAGAATGTGGCCTGTCATTTGTCGAAAAGTACAGGACTAAAACCGTGTTAAACAAACCCATTTACTGTGGAGTGAGTATCTTAGATCTCTCAAAGACGCTGATGTACGACTTCTATTACAACCATTTGAAACATAAGTACAAAGATAAAATCAGGTTGATGTATACGGATACGGACAGTCTGTTGGTTGTCGTTTATACTGACGATGTATACAAAGATATACAATCTCATGGGCGACAATACGACTTTTCAAATTACCCAACAGATCATCCTTTGTACGACTCAACTAATAAGAAAGTGATCGGCAAATTTAAAGACGAATTTGGAGGTAAGGTCATTCAAGAAGCCGTTTGCGTAAGACCTAAGATGTACTCGATTTTAGCAGGTGGCGACAACCTTAAAAAAGCCAAGGGGGTCACAAAATCGGTAACTGACAAAAAATTGAAACACCAACACTACTACGACTGCATCTTTAAAAACACACCTAAAACAGAAACGATGACTCACATTAGATCAGAAAATCACATCCTTTATACCTTATCACTAGATAAATTGTCGTTGAGTCCGTTGGATACAAAGAGGTACATTTTACCGGATGGAATACACACGCTCGCTTATGGTCACCGCAATCTAGATATTAATTAGGCGGTAATTGCGTGTCTTCGGGTACGACTTGAAGCTCTGATCGCACAAAACTCCTTTTTGGGCCGTCTTGCAGGTAATAAAGAGTAGGGCCCGTCGTGACT